ATGTCAAACAACTGGTCATTTGCACTAAGGTTTCAATTGAATAGACTCCTGGCCAAGTGAAATATACTTTTGTGAAAGGTTCACTAAATCGACCATGCATATACGACTACTAATCAGGATCAATTTTAATGTTTTATTGGCGTTTTGCTATAGGAGTACGGTCAGAAGTTAGTAATATTGACAACCTGACACAACAGGGGATAATTATTTCCGTAAACTACCGTGTCTTAGCTGACTGCGCTTTTTAGAAAATATAATTGATAGTCAGCAAACGGGTAGAAAGTTGTAAACGATTTTTCATGCCTATTTTTACATTAGGACAGACAAGACAGCCTTAGAGCATGGTCATTTCGTTTTTCTAGGTTATGTTAACATTTTACAGCGGAGAGATACAGGATGACCTTTGACATATGGTGCAACCCACTGGGAAAAAATTCCGTCTGGGAGAACAAATACTAACCATCTGTTTTATTATAGCATACCTATGTGAACATACTTTTTATATGCATTCTACGTGATTATTCACGATGGTAGCTCTAGGTCAATCGCGTGGCGAGGAGCTGATGTAAAGCATAATCTATAAATTAGATAGACATTATCGTTTCATTATTACATGTCCTTTTTTCGACACATGCTTGAGCAAAGAAAAAGAACAGAATATAGTATAGAAAAGAACTCATTTTAAATTTTTGATACCGTTGCTTTCTTCTGTACATTTATAAATAATTTTGAAAATGATTTTTATACTACAGTTTTTTTTCACAGATTAATTTTACAACTTTTCTGATTACCATTATGGTCTACTCCTGACGAGTATTTATGAATTATTAATCATTTTAAATTCACTATTATTCCCAGTGAAATGCGATTATATTTTAATGAAATGGAAATATCCATCGTAGTTTTTTACTGTTGAAGATAGAGGAAACATTTATGTTGTAGTACATGCGTTTATTTCGTATTAGTAATGATTTTCGATCTGTAAAATTGTAAACTAGCAAACGAATGTTCTTCTGTAACGGTTTCCTGTGAAAGTATACGCGTGAAACAGAAGGATTGATTATTTTCGTCGGAACTACTTCCATAGCATTTGCATATTATTATAATAACGAGAACAAACAATTCAACAAAATGATTTACGTGTTTGAAATATACAAAATCGTTCAGTTTGATTCAACCATGAATATCCATATATTTTGCACTTTTGAACCTTTGCAACGGGAGAATGATAGTTGTGATGCCACTCGATTTGTCGCTGATTTTGGTAACCCTACAATGACGGTTAATCACAATTAAAATATAAATACTCGATATAATGATCGGTCCCCCATGAATACCCGGCATATACGATGAGAAATATTGCATCTGGTAATTATCTTGGCTAGGGCGAGGTAGGGTCAATGAAAAAAAGTTACATATCGATCAATTTGAATTCCACTTTCAACATGTTGCAAATCATCATCAATTGACAGTCATGTTTTCTCAAATATGTGTTGAATTATTCATAATATCGATTTTTACTGTCCATCTTTTGTTTTAACGATTTTCAGTAATTCCTGGAATACTATACTTTTATTTCAAGCTATAGTTGAACTAATGGCAAAGCTTGTTAAGCGACAAAAGTACTATATTTATGGCGCATTAGCAAAATAGTTCCGGTCGAATGGGTCAACACACATTGACCGAGCACTGAATGGTCATGCAGACATAAAAAAGCTTGACTGTATTTATATGCATAATAGTTTTAAATAAATGACTATGTAGTAAATGGCATTAACATCAGTTCAAAGAAAACGAAATTGATTTATTAATGTAAACCTTTGAACAGTATTCTATTATTAACTTTAGAGTGTATGGTAAGTATGTTTGACGTTTAAAGTTGCCCATGGCAACCATTTGCCCTGCTCTTGCCCTTATGGTCCAAAATAACATGAGAATGTGCGAGCCAAGTCAATTACCAAATTCAAACTTCGATAAGTAAAACTTGCATGCCTTAAAACGCAAATGTAATTTATTAAAATGGTAAAGAATCTCCAATAAAGGAGACAACTAAAAGCTATGAGATATATTAATAAACGTAAGGTGTATTTATCTATTGATTTATTTGGACCCAGTCTAGACTCAGCTCTGGCAAATGGTCAAGTAGCACACAATACAATTATGTAACATATGAGGCATTTGGCCAAATTGCAGTTACAAATGAATACTTGCCCTCTTTAGGACACGCAATCCGATAAATAGTTGGACATAAATGCATTTTCCCGGAGTGAACTCAAATGAGGGCAAACCGAAGTCATCTGACTGTCAATCGTCACCTTATCTTTAAAAACTCGAAGTCCAAACCCATAATACGGAATTGAATAAATATAACTACCAATTTTATTTCATTGGTATTTAGCAATCTGATGTATTATATGATTTTAGTTACGCCTAGGATGGTGTATTGAATCTACCCCTGATACCTTGAACTGTACATGATTAATCTTAGAAATTAAAATGTTATCAACAGTCTTGAAAAAATCACTATTCGGTTGAACTTGCGTTGAACTTTGTGGAGAAAACTATCACGATAAAGAATGTTATTAAAGATAAGAGGTAAACCATGACTGGGAACAATCTAAATCATTACTAAAACACTTCATCTTATCAAAATAAACCTTATGTCCAGTTAACCCTTAGTCTAAAGCATTAAGCTCACTACGATCATATTCCAACATAAGTGCTAAAATTGTTTTCATAAATTATGATAATGTTATATCACGATTTACTTCACTCTAAGATGCATGTTAAATTGTAATGTTAAAGGCATGGTGTCAGTGTACTAACGATGATTATTGATAAATATCATTTAGTAAAAATTCAAATATGAAAAAATATTAAAATCTCAAGAATATTAAATTCAGACAAGTCCGATTATTACACATATTTTCTGGCGTATAAGTATGTATACTTGTGTATTGTCTACATAAATCGATAGGTTAACATGAAAAAGGTTGAATATGGCTGTCTCTTATGATGATTTAGAGGCTCGGAAGGAGTTCTATCTCAATGGCTAGTAGGAAAGGTTACGACCTGCATAAATTTTGCTCGACATACGTCACGATAAACTTATGAAAAATAAGAGACAAGCCTAATCGATCAACTCTTTACTTATCTTCGCAGTTTCGGACAACCTACAATTTCTTTTTAAATTGATACAGACTTTTTTGTTAGTGGCATTATGATATTATTAAAACAATTAATACATAAACGTCCATTTTTATAAATATACTGGCCCTTCAGTAAGTCATGATTGATAATGGGCGGGGGTTGACGATCCGTCTAAAAATGCATGTTTTATCCCCGGGTTTTATCTCCAAGAAAATATACTAGTTGTTCGAATACGTTATATAATGTTTCTATAAAAAATGTATGGCCTAAATAATTGCTTATTGTGAATCTGACGCCGTATCATTTTTATTATATCATTATTAAATCGATGCAATGAATGTTGGGATTCCGAAGTCAGAAACACAAGTCATAGCCAAGCCTTGAGATATTTGGTTGCTCGACTAGTCGTTTCTCTCCAGCTAGGTCAGGCCTGCTTCCCTGCTCAAGAACCCAAGGTCACCCTGTCCTCTGTATGACTGTTGCCGCCAATCGACCTCACCAGTCCACAATAACAACCATATCTAGACGCCACCTTTATCGAAAGTGATCAAAGCTCAAAATCTCATCAAGGGATTATTGTTAAATTAAATCCGAGCCAAAAATTAACAAAATGTTTGTTAGTAGCATACATTTTGCGTAACTTTACTGGCACATGTCGTGTTGACCTGAGAATAGAATGCTCTTGGTCATGTTGATCGGTACACTGCTATCGATCACGATCTTTGCCAGGGAAGTAGTACCAAGTAACCAAATGACCTCGCCTTTCATTCTCAGTAGAAAAACACGTCAAATTTCAATACTTTTTATAAAATTGAGACTTCTTTATATGCTTTGGGGTAATACCGTATATTCTCAAAGAGACATTTTATTTAATATGATGTTTACTATTTTGTTACCGTCAACAACATCCAAACGTTTCTTATAATACTCGTTATTTTTTGAAATGTGTGAAGAGATCAGTGAAATAAAATGTGTTCATGTTTTTTATTTTTTATATGGTAATGTTTGAAATTTGACCATGTGTTGAGAAATATTCAAGACAGTCTTTGCATTATTTTTAAATAATGCCCTTTGCTCTTTTGCTATTTTTAATGATATGAATGAAGGAAATCGTCGACAAAATTATAACTAAATGACATATCGTAAATGTATATTTTTGGATAACATGGCGTATTGAAAAGTATGGATTGAAAAACCGGCTTTCTAAATATTCTTTGCTTTTAGAATTAATTGATTTTGAACAAAAAACGATTATGTAAAACGTATTTGCATGTTTTGAAAACGAATACTTTAAATATGATGTCATCAAATGCTTGTAAAAATATGACTAAAAGATGTTCTGTTTGATTTGCTTAGAAAACCCGAAAAACAAATCCAGCGTATATCTTTTTTCTAAAAAACAAAATCCAAGATGGACGCAAACAAACCACCTTGTATTACAGTTTAACGAAATAACATTAACAGGCTGTCGAGAGTGCAAATGTATATTATATAATATATGGTCGGCTATATTTACATCCAACCGCGATCTATATCTGTACATTAAGGGTTATGTAATAGAGCAACCATATTGTATTCGTATACCAACTCAATCGATTGCACTTGAATTGTGTTCATTTTTATAACAGGCCACATTTCGTTTATTTTTGAACGAATAAATACATTTAAGATGAATTTTTTTACAGGTGCTTGTAAGATAAAAGTACAACATGTTTTATATTTGGTTTGATAATTTTAAACGACGTTATTTAATATCTGCACTCTAACATTTTACACAACTGAGTTTGAACGTTGGATTTCTATTTTAGTTTTACACTTTTTATGAATAAATTGAATTATATTTAACTTACCGTTGCCTTTTTTCTTATTTTGTACCACGGAGGTACTACTGGATACGCTAGACGACATCGTTAAGACAATCGGAGGCGAATTGTATCACAGAGGCCTCAGATTTCGTTTGGTCTGTTTTCAAGATTCTCGTCGTCTGCGCTTGTTAAAGCCGCGCCTTGCTCCAAAAGCTTATCGGGATAACGTTATAAATTCATTTGGGGTGATATAGTTTTTATTTAACGAGTTTGACTCCCAACTCGAAATGTTGATACTCGCCCCTGTTGTATAGCAATGACCTGGTCAGGTTCCACTGTTTAAATATGGTGAGATTATTACATAACTTTTGGCTAGTGAATGGGCTAGTACACTTCAGTATATGAGGGGACTTAGGATATGGAATTCATTGTAATGTACGCATGCGCAGATTGATACGCATTATCATATTTACCCTGAAACCCATTATCATATTTACCCTGAAACCCTATGGCGGATCCGGGGGGGGCCCATGGGGCCCGGGCCCCCCCCCCTAAGGTGGGCCCAAAAAAAAAAGAAGTTGGGCCCAAAAAAATTTTAGGCCAAAAAAGGCCTCAAGGCCCCAAAAAGTGGGCCTTTTGGTCATTATTGGGCCTATTTTTTCAATTTGGGCCAAATTTGGAAGAAAATGGGCCTCAAATTTTCAAAATTTGGGCCCACTTTTTCGGTTTTAGGGGCCCAAAAATTTTTTCCGCGCAAGCGTGGAGCTTTTTTCTATATTCTCAAATTTGGGCCCCCCCCCTTGTTGGTTCCTGGATCCGCCACTGCCATCGGTCGAGATCATGCAAAATCCTTGGAATTGTGCAAAAAGGCCTCAAAAATGAAAGAGATATACAATTCCTTGTCGATTTCGGGGTACACATACAGGGGATGGACGAGGGTTGACTCGGGCATCACCCTGTTCTGTTAATTTCCATGACCACCCCTGGATCAAGATACCCTGCGTGCAGAGTCTAGTTAAACTACGAAGACGAAGCTCTCTTTTAAGAAGTGAAGTCAAACGAATGCAAAGGGTAGGATCAAGAAAGGCTCTAGAACAATGCCGCTCTTCTTCTCAATATAGATCAATAGACCGAATATCACTTTGTCTCACCTGTAACCAAAGATTAAAGCATTGCTAATATACATGAAGAGAGTGAGTAAGTGACGTTTGATTGAATAACAATAATTCTCTTTTTATAGCGTGGTTAGTTTTCCATTATCGATATCAGGTATATGCTCCCTCCCCTTGACCAGACGAGTTTAATATCTGAGGACACCGAGGACGATGTTGTTGTCTGGGTGCTAAATACAGGATTTTTGAATGGTAGTGCCGGACTCCATAGACGCACACCAACCAGTTTCATTCATGGCAACATTCGATTGGTATAACACCCTCTCGTGTAAGTTTCTCGTATTTGATACTAAATCGAAGTCCATCCCAAATGAATTTTAGACTGAGTTATTTTTTCTCCTCAAGCTAAAAAATCCAACGGTAGGGAACTTAACGCAAATGAAAAAAGAATAATAATCTACACCAGCCTTAACATTATAATTTGGCAATTAGATACCCACTGAATATGTATTAAAAAGGAAAATATGACAGATTTTTCTTACCAGGAATAGCTTTAGCAATTATTACAGTAAATAAAATAATAATTCAATCATTTTGACTTATTCATCTACCAGGATTTCAAGTGAAAAGGATTGTGGCTTTAATATTGAAACCAAGGGGTCTGAATTATATAACTTCCCTATTGCCTGATTAAGTTGATAAAGGTCGGGTTTCGATATGTTCGTGCGAAATGATATCTGAAGTTATGCAATTTTTCTGGCTATACGATATATTTCATCGATCTGTGGAGCAGTGCGACGTCCTTAACCGTGTGCTCCATACACTGATGATCCACTCGATTACGCTGGTTACCGAAACGGTTCGTTTCGGTAACAAAATGTCGGAACGTCGAAGGTACGATGGGATTTTTCTTTTTTCCTTATTACACACGTTGTAGGCAGAATTCCCACAACATTTTTATCACAAACGTGTATTAGTTGTATCATATGTTTAAGAAAATGTACACATTTGCAAACAAATAGTTCAGAAGACAAAAAGAATCGTCGATTTAATTCCTCACTTAAGTTACATAGACGGTATTTCGAAAAACAGTTACAGTTAAGATCTGCACTTTTAACCCATACCGTTTATGTAACTTAAGTGAGGAATTAAATCGATGATTCTGTTGTCTCCTGAGCTATTTTTTTTCTCCTGAGCTATTTTTCGCAAACATGTGCCTTTTCTAAAACATATCATACTGATACTGATATACGTTTGTGAGAAAAAATGTCGTGGGGATTCTGCCTACAACGCGTGAAATACTCGTGAAATAAGGAAAAAAGAAAAATCGTACCTGGTAACCAGCGTAAACGAGGGGATCACCAGTGCCATAGCGGACTGGACGTTTGGTATTTAGAAAATACCTCTGATAGTCAATGGTGGTAAAAAAGCTCTGAGCAGTGCTTTGTCCATCATGTGCCAAAACGATTAACAGTGATTAGGTCAGTCATTTCGTCCTTGTTGTTGTTAGTTATTTTCATCCTTGTACGAATATACGTTTCGAGCGCGGCTGTTTGTTTAGGCAGTGATCATAGATATGGGCGTTATCATAATTGTGTTCTAGGATAGAATCGAGCTTACCCGAGAGTCGGAGCAGTAAGTAATAAATTCAGATTATAAGGAAGTGTGGGTTCTTACTTATTCGTGTAAAATGATATTGATCAATAGACACAGCAGTATTTAATTGTAGTAATAATATTTGTTTAAGGTTTTCTTAAAGTAAAGCGTGCGTGGAATATGTCGCTTTGATAGCCTCATTGCTGTTTCAACTCAAATCAGCTCAATCCCAGTGACTTAAGTAATAATATGTCACAAACGGATTTTAAGATCAATAGATCTTATATTTTATTTATATTATCATAACATTAAGAAAATATTTATACCGTAACCCATAAGACTGAATGTATGTCGACATCTATCAGTGTGGCGGATGATTTACAAAAATGGAATCAATTTTACGCCATCTTTCAATTAGTTATACACTACATGCACAGCAAGGAGGATTGGCTCCCAGGGACACAACCCGGTTTTTTATGTCCATGATGGGGTTATATATCTAAGTAGATCACATTGTCAGGAAGGGGCATGGTTTTTCCTAACTTTAAATGTACCCCCTTGTTAGTTTCTGGATCCGTCAGTGGATCATACATCATCACATGGATCTCATGAACACTGGGTAAGAGTGTATGTATGACTGACGAGGGTGTTCGAGTAAATCACCCTATGCAGACAGAGCCTGTGGGAAATATTGGGTGCGGAGCAAATGAGCGGAGGGTGCGGAGCTAACGGTCATTTTTGAATTTAAATTTGGGATATTTCTGAAACTAAGCCGTTTTGGGACTTCAAATATACCAACATATGTGTATTTGACACCAAATATCAATACAATTGTGAAAATAGTGGCGCAATTCATTCTATAGCGTCGCAGTGTGCCTTAAACCTTTCCCAGACCTATATATTTTGAAATTATCCTTTTAATACTGAGTCCCCAGCATTCATAAAAAATGGGGTTCAAGGTACACTATCTATACAAATTATTTTTGCATCTTGGAAGCCAGGCAGTATCTGTGTGATTTTATAGAAATTCGGAAATGTTTTCAGATATGAGCCCCCTCTAAATATTGGGTGCGGAGGAGCTCCATAAACGTACCTCCGCACCCAATATTTAGAGGGGGCTCATATCTGAAGAACATTTCCGAATTTTTATAAAATCACACAGATACTGCCTGGCTTCCAAGATGCAAAAATAATTTGCATGGGTAGTGAATCTTGAACACCATTTTTTATGAATGCTGGGGACGCAGTATTAAAAGGATAGTCTCAAAATATATAGGTCTGGGAAATGTTTAAGGAATAATGCGTCGCTATAAAATGAATTGCACTTATGACGTGCACGGACCTGGGGACAATTCGGGAAATACGGGCTAATCTCAGCTTTGAGCGTTAATCTCTGCCTTATTTAAAAAGCTAACTTTGTGTTTTATATATCATTTTGAAGTATTTTTTATTCGCATTTCAGTGAAATTATTTTTCCTTCAAAATTTTGATGGGATCCAACATTTTTTAAAGTTCAAAATATCCCGACATCGTCAAATACGCTGTAAGACGTAACACTTTACGCTTATAGGGCTCGTTGAAATTGGGATTACTTTTGAAATAATGATCAAAATCCCACTAAAATTTCACAATTTATTCAATGGAACATGTTAATTTATGACGTCACAATTGCTTAACGGCTCCCGCTCAAATTATCGTATATGAACGCTTTTAAAATTTTCAAAATTGTGTAAGGTTTTGAAGGTGAATGGGACGAGCAATAAGTTTACCTTTATTTAACCTTCTAATCTAAGTCTGATTTGAAAGAAAAATTAACTGCACAATATTGTAATGGCGAAATTTACAAAACAATAATCAGTTTGTTTATTTTGCAAATAATATTAAAATAAGAGCTGGTTTTCGAGACTTGAAAAAATGTGACGCATCGATTTTTTACCACAAATTCCATACATATCAATTTTTACCAACGCCCCAAGTGGATTTCTTGACCGTTTTTCAAAATTCAAAAAACATTTTAGAAATATTGTCCTCGAGATCTTGCTACCCTGTGAATTTTGTGATGATTAGATAAGGATAAAGTATTTTATTTTTAGGTTGACTAAACTTGACAAAAATGTGACGCTTGTCGTTTTTGACGTTGTAAGGCTGTTTGCGCCCTATCACCCTATGCAGACAGAGCCTGTGGGAAATATTGGGTGCGGCGCAAATGAGCGGAGGGTGCGGAGCTAACGGTCATTTTTGAATTTAAAATTGGGATATTTCTGAAACTAAGCCGATTTGGGACTTCAAATATACCAAGATATGTGTATTTGACACCAAATATCAATAAAATTGTGAAAATAGTAGTGCAATTCATTTTATAGCGACGCAGTATGCCTTAAACATTTCCCAGACCTATATATTTTGAGACTATCCTTTTAATACTGCGTCCCCAGCATTCATAAAAAATGGTGTTCAAGATACACTACCCATGCAAATTATTTTTGCATCTTGGAAGCCAGGCAGTATCTGTGTGATTTTATAAAAATTCGGAAATATTCTTCAGATATGAGCCCCCTCTAAATATTGGGTGCGGAGGTACGTTTATGGAGCTGCTCCGCACCCAATATTTAGAGGGGGCTCATATCTGAAAAACATCGCCGAATTTTTATAAAATCACACAGATACTGCCTGGCTTCCAAGATGCAAAAATAATTTGTATAGATAGTGTACCTTGAACACCATTTTTTATGAATGCTGGGGACTCAGTATTAAAAGGATAATTTCAAAAGATATAGGTCTGAGAAAGGTTTAAGGCACACTGCGTCGCTATAGAATGAATTGCGCTACTATTTTCACAATTGCATTGATATTTGGTGTCAAATACACATATCTTGGTATATTTAAAGTCCCAAAACGGCTTAGTTTCAGAAATATCCCAAATTTAAATTCGAAAATGACCGTTAGCTCCGCACCCTCCGCTCATTTGCTCCGCACCCAATATTTCCCACAGGCTCTGTCTGCATAGGGTGCCTATGCAGCTCATTGTTTTGTCTTGGTTTTTGACGCCATACTGTTACGCTAATTGTCCCCAGTTTCGTGCGACGTGTAACTACTATTTTCACAATTTTATTGATATTTGGTGTCAAATACACATATCTTGGTATATTTGAAGTCCCAAAACTGCTTAGTTTCAGAAATATCCCAATTTTAAATTCAAAAATGACCGTTAGCTCCGCACCCTCCGCTCATTTGCGCCGCACCCAATATTTCCCACAGGCTCTGTCTGCATAGGGTGTAAATGATAATTTGCAATTTTAGGCACCAATCAGGCACGAGTTTGACCTCAGACGATTGCCGAACGTCACATAAATCCATAACTTACTCGAGATAAAAAGTCAGGATACGACGTCAGATACTGTACCACACGACATTTTACGGCATTTTTACATGCCTACTTAATTTTAAAACCGTGATATCTCGACAGCAAAACTTGATCATATTTTTCTACAATATTTTGTCATTAGTTGGACATATATGTCCAGGAAGTATTTTGCCTATCGAGATTCAAAAAAATTAATTTAGTGGAACTTTCTAATTGAGAATCACGCAAGCCGTATGATGTGACTTTCTACGCTAAAACCGGGTGTGGACTGTAACATATTGAAGAAAAATTATTTTAATTTTAAACGAAAAATGAAGATAACTTTTTCATTTCTAAACGGATCTTTCTCAAATTTTGACAATATTTAAGTTCACCATTTTGAAAAAGACGAACAAATTCTGTGTGATGACGTCATAATATAACAATGCTAACTTAACGCTTATATTTATGCAGAATTTCGTACCAACAAGATATATCTTTTGATCAATTAAACATTAAATCGTTTGAAAGCTGAATTATTCTTTTTTAATTGATTCCTTAAAGGCATAACATGCGTTCAGACGTTATTAGGACTACGTAATAAGGAGTTTAAGCTTAAATATTTTCCGTTAGGTTGTGAAAGACATTGCAAGCTTAAACTACCTATTATTTAAACTGCAAACGCATTCATTGGGTAGGTTCAATGAAGTTTATGTGCAATACAGACACCAGCAGGCAGCCTTGTCGAAATAGCCAACTACCATACTCCCGGCCACACCATTATCTAGGCCGGGTAAAACACCTAAAAGTTACTCTCTTTGTATTTACAGACAGCCCGAAATCATCATGTAATTATTTGTCAAAAGTGACAGTCATTTCGTTCTTTATGTGTCATCTTATCCCTGGACCCTGTCATGTCAAAATTCTTTTGCACTCATCATAATGGGCTTTCAAGAGAAAGGTATGCAACTCTGTGTTATAAACATGAGAACTGCAAATGAGCAAGGCAATGCTTCCCTTTTTATGATAATATTTCAAAAGGTATAAAATTATGTTCAATATGATTAAAGCATAAAACATGTTTATCTCATGTAAAAATAAGCAAAAAGACCAATCTCTTCAAGTATTGCATTGTGGGTAATTATTCAAGAACACATAACAATGCCTGCCCGTAGCCAGCTTTTACCAGGAGGGGGAGCTTTTTTCCAGGGGGGAGGGGGCTTTTTCACAATTTTGGCTAAAAAGTATGCGAAAAATTCTCAGAATGGTGAAAAACTGCATGATTTTGAAAGAATTTCTAGCCAGGGGGGGGGGGGAGATTCCGCTCCCCCAGCTCCCCCTCTGGCTACGGGCCTGCAATGTTCACTTTCATTATTGCCATAATCGTGATGACATCCATTTTGTATTAAATAATGAACATGGAGGCTACACTCCCCTCCAAAAGTTTGGCAACCTTTTTTCCCCATTGAACTACGTGTTAAAGCCTCTTTACGTTTGAATTTTTATTTACTTAACCGGCGATGAAATAACTTATAATATTAATGGAAACGTAACTTGACTTTATTTCCAATACCTCCAAATTTTCTAAATTTTTACCTCAATTTCAATAGGTCGAAAATTTATGATAAATTTGATGAATTTTTGAAAATCGTCATTCCCATGTAATCCAATGGGAAATTGAGGATTTGGCCGGCAAATCAGAAATCAGGATATCTTTTCAGTAAAAGATTCAGCAAAAAATATTTTTATATAGAAAATTGAATTGTCTATCTTTTTTTAACACAAAGTGTTTAGTTTATTTGATGAATATTAAAGTTACAGCGCATCAAAGTCATTTTTGAAAATAATTTTTCGCCTCCTGTGTTATTTCAATGGGAGAGGTTTTTTGAAAAACAATTTTGACTTTAATAAAGCCCTATAACTTTGTTGAACCTGAAGAAACATATCAATTTTTTGTTAACTTGTAAAGTTAGCAAATTCAATTGCCTGCCTAACTCGTATTTTTTGCAAGGACTCGGATGGATGGATATTCAGTCATATGACTTGCGGCAAACCTACCATTTCCCATTGGTTAACATGGGAATGTCGATTTTCAAAAATTCATCAAATTTATCATCAATTTTCGACCTATTGTAATTGAGGAAAAAAATTGAGAAAATTTGGAGGTTGGAATTAAAGTCAAATTACGTTTCCTTCAATAGTATAAGTATTTTCATCGCATTTTAAGTAAATAAAAATTCAAAGGTAAAGAGGCTTTAACACGTAGTTCAATGGGGGAAAAAGGTTGCCAAACTTATGGAGGGGAGTGTATGTAGATAATCATGTAAAGTACAAAACACGATTTTTCTTGGAATGTGTACATTCTCCAATTTTTTCCAAAACCCAAGGCAATGCCTATGTGTATGAAATATTGGAAGTTGCCTTCCCTTCTCTTGAAAGCCTAATATTATGCACTCATTAGTTGTTATTTCTACCCGGGAATTAAAATTTAGTACAACCTGCAATGTTTATTTCGTCCTGTGTATATCAATTTTCATATAATCTCGCGAGACTTAAAAAATCATGGAAGATCGAAGACGTCGAAGAAGAACTTCAAATTCCGACTCGGATTTCAGCGAAAATGACGAGAAAAATACGAATCTAGGAACCCCTGGTCGAAAGACAGATAATGAAACTGTAAGTTGGCTAATTTTCATTCTGTTCTTGCCTGTTTTGCTCTCACTACCGCCTTTTCAATTTTAGGCGGATTTATTTTCCAGAAAATTTTCAAAAATTTCGGGTAGGAATTTCGATAGCCCTGTCACACACAGTCGAAAAGAATGTTCTGGCGAAAGGAGATTGGGATTCCAAATTCTTGAAGTTGGAACGAAAAGAATGAAGTTTCCTTTTCTATTTCCTGAATCTCTCCGAAATTAGCTCATCTTGGTGACTGTAAATTGCACAGCTGTATTCAATGGAGTGTTCCCGTATTCACTCATCCTAAATTTTAAAGTGTATATTTTATTTTGAATGTGTTTTCATTGTTTTTTGTCGACTGGTACGATCTGGCTTAGCAAATGGCAAGATGGATGACCATAGGCCCCGGGAACATGTATAAAATAGCGAGTCGACATCTGTATTACTTACTCACTTCGAGAGCCATGTTAGATTTTAAAACTTATGGCTCTCAAACGGAGAAGTGAACAGCTGATCAATAGTGACCTTTGAAATTGAATTAAGTCGATCCGCGGCTTACTTTTGGTCTCTAACTGTGTCTTACAATCAGTATCATCAATCCGTGTAAGTATTGGAGCGCTGGAGTACTTCTTTTTCGATCAAGACTTGTAAATTGTTCATCGAGTTAAAGTTTTACAGACCTATTTCCAATATGGCGGTTTGCTAGGTGCGAGATACGCAACGAACGAAATGAATTTTGAGAATTAGTTAGGTTCGGACAACCTCCGGAGATTTACGAAAATGTCCGAGCAGAAACCGCCATATTGGAATTTGGCAGTAAAAGGATTCACTCGACTAACGAATTACAAGTCTTGATCGAAAAAGAAGTATTCCAGCGCTCCAATACTTACACGGATTGATGATACTGATGTAAGACACAGTTAGAGACCAAAAGTAAGCCGCGGATCGACTTAATTCGATTTCAAAGGTCACGATCATTGAGCTGTCCAAATGCTCCGTGGGAAAGCTATTATATCAAAATCCAAATAGCTTTCGCAGGAAGTAATGTATTACTACTTCTTCTTTTAGGTGGTTATCCCCAACCAGCAATTATGAATATGCCAACTTTCGATGGTTAATTGTGCAAAGATTATCGCTTTTCATTGGGTTTTATATGATTCTAAAGTAAGATAAACTACTACTACTTTTTTCATGGCCGTGACTTCGTCGCTAACATGCTAAATGTAAGAGTTAGCTGACGTTTGGAAGTCTGACTTACCTTCTAAAGGTTAGAACCCGAATCTTAATGAAACAATATCACCGTTGTTGCGTCGATGATGATGCATAAACATAGCATTTGATAGAAATTAGTGTAAATGCTTTTCCGACTTTTTCATTTTTCATCAATGTTGACTTCCGGGAAGGCGTTGTAGTTATCACGAAACAACGCATTGACCCTTGAACTTTACTTTGTTGACGTGTCAACCAAGCATGTCTGGTGTGAAAATTAAAAGAATGTTAAGCAATGTTCTACATCCGCCAAGCTAAGTGAAGTAGTCAATATTTAAAATTACCAATTTCAAGTGAAGTACGCAACGAACGAAACTGCGTGATCTACCTCCCACTATTGGTCTGAATGAAATGCTACGTAGAAATATGAGCCGTCTGCTGTATTAGTCGATTAATAGAGTAAGACCTGTTGGTGATGCTTTATAATTTAGACCAAAACATTGAAGAACAAACGAACCTGTAAATCGTGAAAACAACAAACAAATATTCGGTTTTCACATATGTTCGGTAATTTTTCGTATTGAAACTTCCGGAACTTACAAGGAAATCATTCATTTTCTCGGTCCATGATTTACCTCTTGGATGTTGTGGCAAATGCTCCATGGTTGACGGAACAAAGGTGATATGGTTTCATTAAGATTCGGGTTCTAACCTTTAGAAGGTAAGTCAGACTCCCAAACGTCAGCTAACTCTTATATTTAGCATGTTAGCGACGAAGTCAGGCCATGAAAAAAGTAGTAAATAGTAACTTACGGTATGAATCATCACAGATATGCGAACTTGCACCCTATTTCATTGCATCATTTCAAGCATCGGTTAGCTAAATCCGCGCTTCAAAATCTGAGGGGACCCTGCCGGAAGTTGAATAAAAACAGAAAAAATAATCACTAACTTTAAGTTTTAATTATACTCATGTGTTACAGATTGGAACTGTTTGATAAATATATATTAAAGGTAAATAATTTCAGTATTGACTGAATACACGAAAAGCTTAATTATAGTAAAAATGTAGTTTGATATAACGTTACTTAACTTTGTCATTATGCTTAAACGAAGGTGTCACTCCTGTAAATCATTGAAAAATATTGAAAAAATTGAAAGTACTTGGCCTCAGCTTTACATACATATACCTCAAATGGCCACATTGCATACACTTAAACCTACTATACACACCCTAGAAGTTGGCATGGCTTCATTTTTAAAGTATTAAAAACACCGAAAGTGGTATTTATCGGAGTGACACCCCAACCAGCTATGACAAAAACAAGATGGCTGCGGGTCCGGACAAAATTCGAAAGGGAATGATTTCGAATTAACAGGTGATTTAAAGCTAGAGATAGACAGTATAAAAATTTATTAATACACACAAAAGTTGAACGAAGTATCGATCCTACTTTTGAGTGATAATTGGTAAGCTGGCAAAGCTTAAAATTCGCGAATCGGACCTTAATGCAGTAAGATTCTGGTTGGGGATAACCACCTAAAAGAAGAAGTAGTAATACAGATGTCGACTCGCTATTTTATACATGTTCCCGGGGCCTATGTGGATTACCCTTGACCTCACCTTGACCGATGGTGATCACGTCATCTATATTACCAAGATAGCGGATTCAAAATTTTCTAAAATCGCTTCAAATAATATTATGTTAATTTCTAATACTAAAGACCTTCATAAAAAGGTCTGATATAAATGGTGGACCGAATTCAGAATTACCAGGTAAAATCACATTGAGATTTTTTGCCTATAATAGCAAAACCTTTGCTTCATTTATGCATTTTATCTGAGATAGGAGTTTTTGGTGTCTATAGGCAAATATTTTTTCAGAAGGAACATGCTATTTAGTTTGATAACCCATTGATTATTATTTATTAAGCTGAGCACTATAATAAAGGCAAAATAATATCTAAAATCTCAATGTTATTGTATTTCAAATCACCAATCTCTAGAGGTAAAAAAACTACTGTTTTATGTTTTTAGTTTCAGTCTCAGCTCTCCTGAGAAATTCTGCGAGAAACCCCCTGTTTCAAAATCTGAGTTCAAATTTTTGCCCAACTAGCTTTGGGTTTATTTATTGGTTACCGATTTTAATCATCATCATTTGCAGTGATCTGCATTTTTAAGGCTAAAAACTCTGGGAGTCTGGTCTGGGGAAATCATACATCATTGAAATTGAGAATTAAGTATCATGCTTATTTTTTAATTTTTTTTATTTTTCAGCCAAGTGAAACTGGAGACAGAGATGAAGGTAAGTTCTTTTGATACTTTTATTCTCTGCTCTTTTCAAACTTAGTCGATGAAATTGCACCACAAAGTTCAGTTCAGATTGAAGAAAGTACGTAAATATATAGAAGAGTTGTTCTGTCAGTTATATAGATTTTTTATATACTCTTCATTTTTTTCTTAGTAAGAATAAGATAAAATTGCTATAAATTAGAATAATTAACCACTACAAATTTTCCATTTCAGCACAGAGTGAAACATAATTCGCTAAAAAGAATGAAATTGCATTAGTTTTGTTAGTACATGTAGATTCATTTTATATACGATTCTCAGTTTTTCTAGTAATCAATTAAGATAAAATTATCATGATATACACTGTATTTAAACAGCAGCCACTCTTAAATGCAGAGCAGAGACATCATTTACCTTAGCCTACAGATTTGCAGTTTTGATCAATTTTTTGTAGAGTTGACAAATTTTCTGAAAGAATGATGAATAATCATTTTTAGTTCAGTAATTCTATTGCATCTCCATTTCTTGTAAGATGAGAGGAACACGAGTGACAGGACCTCTAAGACTGAATTAATGTCTTGTCTCATATATTTCATCTAAACTGCAAAGAAATCCCAGAGAATGCAGAATTGGCCATTTTCACTTTTAAGAATCGAAGTGTCACTTGCACAATTCATTATTCCATCTTGCACAACAAAACTGAGAAATAGTGTTATGCAGTTGTGGTTATTGTTACTAATATAAGTAATGAATTGTAAACAATTTTAGATCCTGAGTCTGAATATGAGAGTGCAGAAGATCAAGATTCTGATGAAAGCACAGATGAGTCAACAAGTGATGAAGATGAAACTGAGGACTATACACAAGATGAAGGAGATGTTGTAATCGAGGACTCTGGGTTGGATTATGAGTTCCCTGATGATCAGGAGAGGGAAAGTGGAGATGGTCAGGTAAGAAAACTTTGAAGGCAAGATGGAAACTAGTCCCTGCATAATAAAATCAATATTTAAAAAAAAACTTTTTCACATCTCAAAGGGACGTCATGGATAACTATCACACTATCTTAAATATCTTCTATTATTTCGCCAAGAAATTCTGCATTTATGCTGAATTGGCCTGTTGTAGATGTCACTAATTTCATTTGCAGAAAACAACTTTTTAACTTGTAGAAAACAATGAAGAGTGACAACAAAATTACTTATTTCAGGAACATCCAGATGATGAGAATAAAGATGCTTTAGATGATGATGAAGATCGCAAGAACCCAGCATTTATCCCCAGAAAGGGAGCATTCTATGAGCATGATATGAGAGAGGGAGAGGATGGAGAGGGAGGGGACTCACAGCAGACTGAAAAGACTGAAGAAAAGGGGTAAGTTTTACTGAGACATACCTAATAAACTTGAAAATTATGAAGGTATGTGTAATATGTATGTGTGTATACCAGCCTATGTATTCTTAAAATCTCCAAAGATATCCCATATTAGAAACAAGATTTATCACACCTTAAAAAATGAGAGAGCTTTTCAAGTTTCAAAATTAGGAAATACCAAAATTTTGAAAGATTTGATCTAAATTATTATTAGTTTTGCTGCTAATGGTTTCTTCATTCTGAGATTTTACATTCTTATGAAATATTGCATTGATTAGATGAAGCTTATTAATAAAGTTAATGATTTTACAGGGTAGAAAAGAAAGCATTATGGAAAGATGATAAGAAATGGCTTCATGATAGGTTTGATGATCTTGAACAGAGACCCAAAACACGCGAGGAACTGATTGCATTGTATGGCTATGATATCCGAAGCCGCAATGCCCCACCTTCAGCGCCACCGAGGAGAGGAAGGTATGAACTACATTTTTCATCTGCTTTTCAAAGAACGATGTACATCAAAATAATTTGAAACTGAAATTATATTTGGATCATTGATTTCAGATTCTAAGTCTAAATTTATTAAGTACAAACTTATTAATTATGTCTGCTTACCTCAGTTGTGTTATTTTTATGACCAAAAAGAATAATCTGTTTCATTCATCTTTCAATAATATTGTCCTGTTTCGTGTATTATAGGTTCTTGCCTTTGTCTTTATATCACCACTTACCTAAGTGCAGATAACTTGTGAAGTTTATTTTGCTCAAAATATTCATAATTCTTGTATTTTCTTGTATTTAATGGAATGTTTCATTCTAGGGGGCGAGGTGGTGACCGAGGTCAACATTCTCAACAGGTGTTTGGTGATTATGTGACAGACAATAGACGCAGTAACAGAAGAGGAGGACAATATAATGATGACGGTGACACCTCTGACAGAAGAGGTGGATATGACCGGAGACGAAGTGGACGTAATGATTACAATGATCGACAGAATGAGTACAACGAGAGGCATAATGAATACAATGAAAGACGTACAGATTATCAACATCAAAGAAGGGAGAACTATCAAGGCAATGATTACAATGGTAGTAGAAATGATTATGGGGATAATAGTAATGATTATGGCCAGAGAAGAGGAGGTGGTTATAATAACAGGAGAGATGACTATGAACAGAGACCTAGGGGAGCCAATAGGGAAAGATCACAGCGATCAAGGGGTAGGGGGTCATATGATAATAGAAGGAATCAACGGAGCAATCAAGATGATAGCGAAGACACACGTGGGTACAAGGACACGCAAAACTATCAGCGGCAACGCAGAGACAGTGATAACCAGAAACAATGGACAAACAGAAATTATAAAAATCTGAAAGAAGGAAATTCACCTCCTTCCTCTGATTCTAATCCACCGCGTTTCAATAAATCAGACTATCCAAAGCTGCCGACAAATGTTGTTGAACCAGTCCAAGGGAAGTCATTTAGTAATGATCGTAGAGCTAAGGTGGGAGTAACGAGGGTACAGGAGAATGTTGAGGAAGAGCGGAGGCCTAAAGTTGGCATTACTAGAGTCCAGGGGGAGAAAGCCACGGATGTTGTCAAAGCTGCAGCTTCATCAAAGCCCTCGGAGAAAGTACAATATCCTCCCCATTCTCAAGGAAAACAAGTACAACATGGTAATTATTGAAAATGAGCTTATCTTATTATTTGATTTTAACCTCTTCTGAAATGAAATACCCCAGACAGTGCATATAATTGCAGTTACACATTGTCAAAGACCATTCACATGTATATTTCAGTAAGCATGTATATTTCAGTTACACCTCAGCCACAAAGTTCTGGGAGTGAGGCTACCCCTACAGATTCAGCACCCCCACCTTCTACAGTGCGTCCTGAGACTGGGGTCCTTCGCCCAACCAAGCGATACTCTTCCCAAAGGCAGAGACCTGTCCCAGACGCCACCTTTACAGAGCCCACTTCTGTACAGCATTTCTATCCCCCGCAGTCAACTAGTAAGTGTATTTCTAGGTAACTTACCCTGATCAACTAGTCAATTCCCTCAGTCAATCGCATTGATTTACACATTGCACATACTTCTCTATAAATTCAGAGCACAGTTTGGTTTTGATCTCTCATTGAAGTTATTCTCTCTATTTATTTAACTAAGAGTACCTGTCAACACCACATGTTAATGGTTAAATGAGTTTGTAATTCTCGCTTCATTCTCTTATTACAGGACCACCCATGGTGCAGCGAACAGTGCGGCCTCAGGCTACTGTAGCTCAGAGCACACAGGGCTCTCAGATGTCCCAGACTCCCCCAGCTCCCAGAATTCCCCCTCCACAAACAATGCAGGCCTACACACTGCCAGGTAAGCTCTTAGTGTTATATGATCCAAAGGAAACCTCTCCAACATTGGTTCAATACAAGACACAGAAAATGGAAAAGCCTGTTTTCGTTAATGCCATCCTCTTTAAACTTTAGTGCCAACTCCCTAAACTTGAGAACCATAACCTGAGATAAATTGTGAAAGAGGTCAGAATATCATAAAAATGAATAATTTGATCTGAATTTTTTAATCTATGTTTTAGTAATAATCTATCTTTACTTGCCTGGCATCACATAGTTTTGAATTTCTACCCCATAGGGCATGTGTCTCCAGCTAACACGCCTCCAAGGATGGTCCACCAGATGTTACCAACGGCTCCCCCAAGTATACCTAACGTCAGCATGCGCAACACGCCACCTGTCATGGTTCAGCCAGCATCTGCACCGGAGTTCATAGCTGGAGGGGTCCCCATGGCTCCAGGGGCCATGCCAGGGGCGATGGTGCACTATACAAGCCCTTCTGGGGGAAATGCTGTACCATTCCAGATGGCCAACCCAATACAGCTCCCCCCAGGGTTCCCTACCCCACCCCATGGGCCCCAGGTGATCACAGCTACAGCTATCCCTATGCAGCCAATGCCTGTAGCCCCACAACCTGTACCCCCACAACCTGAGGTAAGTTCATTTTAGAAGAGTTTGATTCAAGGAAATTAAATACAATGGCAAAAGATGGATCCATGCTATAGTATAGGAGCAATGAATTGACTCTTGTTCAGCTTTAGGACTAGGGATGGCATGGAATTATAAGTGAATTATTGCTATCTTTCCCTACGATTGTTTGAATTACGATTGTAATTACGATTGTTACGCTGGAAAAAGATGGCTCCATGCTATTACTCATTTAAACACCACTATCAAAGATATAATTTAATGCCATTTCTGCATCAGTTGTATAATTGAGTGCTGCATTCCCTGCCAAAAATATTATTGAAATTCATGCATTATCAGAGAAGCAAAATAAAGAATACGGACATTTTTGGCTCACCCTGTACTGTATTTATCAAAGGCACAATTTCTATATAGAACTATTTATAGAAACTGTAAAACATGTAGACTTAGTTGTTTTATCATAAATCTTGTTGTATGATAAATGTCATTTAATGCAATATTTCTTTAAAAATACATGTATTTACATTGCAGGATCCCATGCTTCAACCTGGTGGCACAACCTACTATTCAACCCCTCAGGATACCCCCACAGGAACAACATACTATCCCCAGGAAATGGCAGCTCCCCCAGGGACAATCTATTATGCCCCTGAGTTCCAGGCAACCACTGACAAATCCCCAGCACGCAGAACTAAAGCAGCTATACCTATTATCAATCCACAGGTAAGTTAATTTTTTAAGAATTTTTTTTTTGAATAAGGTACCAACATTTGAATCTGCATGGAATGTCCCTAATGAAATGACATTCATTCCTTTTGACATCATTGGCTTTTACTATTTCAGGATATGCCAAATAGGGCTGATGACGAAGCAGAGCTTTTGCGAGAAGATCCAACTGCACCCCCTGTTTCCACCGCCCCTATTCAGCAAACCTCTGCCCCATCCCCTGTACAGCCAGCCCCTATACCCAATCCAGGAGATGAACAACAAACAAGAACAGCGAACATTACAAATCCTAATGAAGAACAAATAAGTAACAAAGATGATAAATCTAACATCCTCAAAGAGGCAGAGGAGCCCACTAGTAAACATGCTGTGGACTCTGGAGGTGATATGAAACCAGTGCCAGCTTTAGAGACCATACAATCAGATATGAAAGGATTAAAGTTAGAAACTCAAACTGTACCAATAAATGATGCAGAAACGAATGATATAAAGCAAATAGCTGTCGAAAGTACACCTGTGTAATACACACTAGAGTTAATATTGGCTTTAACAAAGACCAGTGAGTCTGTCCCATACCAGAGATTGAATTATGAGCAGAAGTCTTCCATTGTTCATCACGTGGGTTAAGGATGGTGTCAGATTGTCAATAGCTGTGGAACAATGAAGTTAATCTTCTATGGGGAGGAGGTACATGATGATTTCACTAGAGAGGAGTGGTGATGAGGGGAGTAATAAGGGGTACACTGGATTGACTTTGACTTTGTTATTCCACATCCATTGCCTGTTGGATACCTCTTCTTTTCCCATCAACTTCTGGTACAATGTCACTTCTAGTTCAATAAATATTGTAGTTAGTATAGTATGAACATTTGTAAAGTGTATACAGGTACATTCTGGCACAGGTTCATGGAATGTGTTGATGGCTTTAATTCAGTATTTAATGCTTATGGTTTGAAGCCTTAGAATAGTACCTCAACTGATTAGAGTAGCCGTGGATCAATTTATCAATTTGGAAAAGCGTTTTATGTTATCTCATATTCAACTTCAAATTGACCCTATTATAAGTGTTATAATCCAAGACTATAACCAGTAATTCGATATCTTAGTAAATACACATAGTATTTCACTTACTTTTCAACAGAGCAAGTCACAGAAGGTAAACGATTTATTCAGAGACAATTAATAGAAAAATGATATTGTAAGTTACATTATTTTATATTTGATTTGAATGGCCACAAGTACAATTTCTAATGATTGAACTGCCTTCTTGCTTTCCTTCAAGATGAGATGTATGTGAAATGAACGGAATTGGTTCATTTATAAATAAAAATCAGATGCTAGTAGAAATATTCTTGATTTTCATAAAGTAATATAAACATAGTTAAAATCTTATTCATACAAATACATGTACTTCTAAAGCATGGTCTAAGATTGTTAATTAATTTTTTTTCGAAAATATGATTTGTAGAATAGGTAGAACTCTTGTTATAAAATCATGTAAAGTGAAATTTTTTGTTTTGTTTCATTGGACAGAAACGTAAATGGATACTGAGCACATTTTAAATTTGATTGAATCCAAAATTAGAGCATTTTGTTTGCCTACCACCTGGTGATTAAACTAGAAACTACTGTCACCTTCCTATGTGATGATAAGCAAACAGAAAATCTCAATTCATATATATTATTTAAAAATGTTAGAATATGAATGTAGCCATACATTATTTTTAAAATATATTATGTGAAACTTCTATCCTTAAACATAATTAAGAATTGTTTTATGCATAATGGCTACAAGTATTCTTTTCTGTGTGTGTTTTACCTTATAGTGAAATGTATGATAGTTTGGAAACATATTTCAAGGTTAAACTATGGTAAGATGATTGTGGTAGGCCACAACTTCTATATATGTGATAGATATGAGTAGAGGCTAAATCAGAATGAGGAAATAACTTTCTTAACAATAGGCAAATATTTTAGTGTTTATTCATAAAGTGTGCATTATATTAGGTCTGCTTCTCATGATTTTCACATGCAAATGTGTGTACTCATTTATTTTTGTAAGCTGTGTTACAAGCCTAAAATTGCAATTTTTGTTATTAACAATGATAAGAAATTGTTATGGATTTCATGTTTTTCTAAGTTAAACGACTGATCATGCTGAATAAACTATGTTTAGAAAACTTAATACCATCTCAATATGTTTTAATTTGAAAGGTTTCATGCACAACAACCAACATAACATAACATTACAGTGTCGGGACTTCTATTTTGACCCAGTTTTGCGATACATGTACTCGAGCCCAATGAACATTTATTCTATTACATTTAAAGTTTTAAGTCCCAGGATTCCATATTATTTCTGATATATTCCATATACATGAGTGAACCTTTTGCAAATTTTATCTAAGAAGTCCCTAACAGTCTAAATATAAATTGAATCATATAAAACATACTCATCGTTTGTAATTATACAAAATAATCATATATCATTATCCTTAGGATGAAGAACAGATGAAGAAAAGAATTATCCTTGTATTTTAGTTTTAAATCCAGTGACAGTTTGAAGTGTAGTTGAAAAGATTCACATTTGTGTGTCCATTTGATCATTAGAGAGGTTTAAGTTTGCACTGATTTTCACAATGTAAGCATGAATCCAATATACACTCTTCTATACCTTGCATTTGGTGTTCATGAGCAACCCATTTGGCTTATTAGTAATGATTATGTTATTTGTTTTTATTTGTCTGTTCCTTATTATGGTTTATAGGATGGCTGTTAGACGTTAAAAAGGTACTTTTGTATCTTACCAAAGGATCTTGTTTAAAATATGATACAACATGCAAGCTTAATCTCCCTTTTAGTATGTTTATGTCACCACCAGAAGTGGTAACATTAATTAATAACTGTTATAGTCTCCAACTTGTTTTTGTTCAGTGTTTGTATTCTGTAACAAATGGCAGGTAGTGACATTTTGCATGTTAATACCTTGTTTGTTAATGTGGTTATTAACGTTTATTTAAAGTTACTCCACAAAACTTCAATGGGGTTTTATTTATAGGGAAATTTTAATCCAGTCAAAAGAATAATGGATGTTATCATCTGTTGAGTCAATGACATTATAATTATTTTTGGAGATGACATTGTTATGGTCTCCAATTTTTTTGGGATGATGTTTGACGGTTGTCTAAAAATTTCCCTTGATTCCCAGTAAGATGTTATTAGGAAGAAAACTTTTAAGTTCCATTTGTACACTGTATTGCTCAATTTGAGGTAATACCAACTTTTAGCTCAAACTTAAAGATGCAGTATGCCATAGGTTTTTTCCCAGAGAAGCAATTTTGACCCATTGTTATTGGTCATATAATATCTCACATACCATGGATATATCTTTAGAATAGCTAATTTGTATATTATTGCCGAAATATTGTTATAATCAACAGAACAACCAAACTCCAGAATTTAACGGGGGCTTTAACACAATCGATTCATCGGGTAGCGAGGGGAATCCCCGTTGAGACACAAGCGCCAACACACGCCTTGAACCAGGCAGCCAATCAGGTTCATGATAAACAAATTCAAAGACCAATCAGATAACAGGGGGATTTTCCCGGAATAATCAAACTTTAGATTGAATTAATTTCCGCGAAAATAATTAGATCGGTCAGCACAATTGCAAAATAAACACCGAAAGCAGGGGATTTGGGACTACTTCGCTGGTAAGTAGATTGGTGAATATTTGGCGAAACTCAATATGCAAAAAGGTCTAGAGGGGTCTTGATTGTGATATCCTATGGCAAAGAGCCTCTTTAATTTAATGCATTATCAAATAACAATATTTTGTATAACAATAATCCTAATTTATTTAGAGCACAATCATCTGGGTCTGGCAATACATTATAAATAAAGTTCAAGAATCACATTCACAATGTTCTTTCTTCCTTGGTTGCAAGATTTGTTTCCAAATGAGTGCACCTCAGTATGTCCTCCAGCATTTCTAACAGATGGTATGTATGACTTTCCAAAAAGATCAGAATTGCTTATATTGATACTAGCATGGTATTGTTTCTGATAGAGCATATTTTGGTTAATAATCCAGATGACACAAATCAAGCTTGGCAGTAAAGGATCACACTTTACAATCGAAACACAATTCCTAATTCATTTCTTTAGTCTTAAATCCTATAACAAATCCTATTTCCTAATCTAATCTAGTTCAATGGTGCCCATGTTTGGGTGGATTATACTTGGTTCTTAGTCCATCTAAGACAATTGCGACTGCTGTCAAGGCTAGTCCCCACTTGAAGCCCCTAAATACTGTCATCTTAAATAGTGTGAAGGGTGGTGTATAGTTGCCTGGCATGTATCTCCATGCATAATTCCTGGAAGTATAGAACAGAACAAAATATATTTAGAACCTAGAATGTGAGTTTTGCAGGGCCAGTAGTTGAAAATGCATCAACCAGCAATGAAGATTGTCTGTTTATATCACAATTAGAGATTAAACTCACATTTAATTTTATTGTAGGGTCAAAGAAGTAACATATCATATCATATCAGTGACTGAAGAAGTGACAAACTCCCATATGGACTAAAAATCCGTTGTAACTAGTTAATTATTCAAGAGCATTATAACTGGATATTAGTCGATATACCATGCAATATACATGTACATTTACAGTGTTTGCTAAGAGCCATACACCTGCAAAGCAAAATTTTAAGTCGCTGAAATGGAAGTTCTCAGTTGAATAGACTTATGTGTACATCGGTTCTAAACTACGGTATCCCCATACTTCTACATTAGCCTAATATTTCTCCCCTCTTTTAAGGCTGACTGATCTGATAAAACAGCCTTTGCAAGCCCGCTATCACCCACTTCAGAATCATGATGGCTGAAACTGAGATACTAAGATCAGCTGATTTAACTTTTTGCTTCTGGACTTCTCTTTATCCTCCAGTGGATATTTTCGACTGAGAACCCAAAATGGCAGTTTTGACAGAAATTCACGAAGTAGCATTTGAAATCTTTGGAGATTTACGATTGAGAGTTATCGGAAGTTCCGCAATTTGTTAGCATCATTCAAAATTCTCCGGCAATTTTGATAGCTACTTTGTTTCTGCCATTTTGGGAGACCATATCTGTTGCAAAACTTATACCTGGCACAACTGTCACCATGTTATTGAGTGTTTTTAAGTTGCGCAAGGATCCTGCCATGACCGTGGTAGTGTTATCGTGAAAGCCTGGTATAACCGTGACAATTCTATATTATATTGCAAGGCCTGTCATAACCGTGGTAATGTTAAAGCCTGATATGACCGTGACAATGGTTGAAAGGCCTGTCATGACCGTGGTAATGTTAAAGCACGATTTGACCGTGACAATGGTTATATTAAATGACCTTTAGAAGCATTGAGAATGCTGTAGACTACTTCTATTTTAAATCATAATTCATTTCCACAAACTATAATTCTTATCTCATTCAAGAATGTGAACATTGCACGGCTAGTGGGAAGTCCTCCATCTAGGAGGTATATACACCAGGTAATGCGACTAAAAATGAAAAAAATGAAAAAAATATGGTCACCTGTCCTCTAGATTCAATTTTTGAATGAATCGTAGCATAATGTACAGATTATTTGATATCATGCTATTCTTGAACATTTATATGCAAAAATAACTGGGTCGCTCACCTCTTATGCCTATATGTGTTCAGTAATCATCAATTCTCGTGAGTAAAATTTCTCCAGGCCATTGAAAGGGCCGCTCAGTAAATTGACAATTTCTACTGCGCATGTGTCATAAAAACCCCGCGAAAATTTTTGGGAACACTATCGCGTTTTTTACCTTTTTCTGGCATTTTTGGCATCATAAAGTAATTCTCAAAGAAGAGTTGTCTTAGCAGTTCCTGCTTGACCTACAATGCAAACATTGTAGGTCAAGCAAGCATTACCAATGCTAAAAAAAGGGGGGATTTACTCCGGAAAAATAAAGTCACGTGATGTGACGTAACATAAGTGTGACGCGATAATTTTTTAACTTTCATGGAACGAAAATACATTTCCCGGGAATCAATACATTCCAAATATTACGATTTTTCAGCAGATTTGTTATCAAAATGTAGATTTCTTTATAAAACAGACGTATCTGTGTTGTATTTAGACTTGAAAGAAATATTGTGGACATTAAATACGATTTTTCGATTTGTTGAACTGACCGAATGTAGTACTGAACGAAATATGCAGCCCAGACTTCTCGATATCCTACGAGATCACGAACAGATTGCAGAATTTTTCTTTTTGCTGCGTTTAATCGTTTCGTTCTTATTTATTAGCCGTCATCCAGCGATGGAAACCTAATATAAATACAAAGTTTGATACAAGGAACAAACACGTAAATGTTTTTTATGATGTTTATTCATTTATTAGGACGTATTATACATTGAAAAACCAGTGTGTTTGTTCCGGAGTAAATACCCCATTTTTTGCATTGGACCTTGTCTGGCCCAGATCTACGACATCGGGAGTAGATAACTGGGCCAGACGGGTTTGGTTAGAGAGACCTTACAACCATTGCCACAGTCATACAGAGACATATTTATATGTCTCTGAGTCATATAAGGCTTTAACATTACCACGGTCATGACAGGCCTTGCAATATGATACAGCATTGTCACGGTTATACCAGACTTTCACGATAAAACTACCGTGGTCATGGCAGGATCCTTACATAACTTAAGGTCTCATGGAAGTTAACAGGAAATGACAAAACAAAAAATGACAAAGCCATGCTGGATTTTGAAAATTTTTTGAACCAAGATAACAGAGTTCTGTTTGGACCTCCAGTCAGTTTAACTAGTTCCACATATCATTTACATGACCGGGAACACAGTTGAAATGGTCAGAATGACCATAAACGTGATAGAATAACCTTTTCAGCCCTCTGAAAATGTGACTAAAAAATAGCTAAGAGTAGGTGCTCAGGAAAGGTCACTGAACAGAATATTTTGACTTTTTCAGAAAATGTGCCCAATATATTGCTCTAAATGATACAATTCAAAAAAATTTGATATCATTCTTAGAAAAAGAAAAAATTGAAAAAAACTGAATTGAAAATCGATCTATTTTCCTTTTTACTACAGCCATTATTGTTTCAGACGATTTTTTAAAATTTCAAAGATTGTGTCATTTAGAGCAATATATTGGACACATTTTCTGAAAAAATCAAAAGATTCTGTTCATTGACCTTTCCTGAGCACCTACTTTTAGCTATTTTTCAGTCACATTTTCAGAGGGCTAAAAAGGTTATTTTATCATGTTTATGGTCATTCTGACCATTTCAATTGTGTTCCTGGTCATGTAAATGATATTTGGAACTAGTTAAACTGACTGGAGGTCCAAACAGAACTCTGTTATCTTGGTTCAAAAATTTTTCAAAATCCAGCATGGCTTTGTCATTTTTTGTTTTGTCATTTCCTGTTAACTTCCATGAGACCTTAAAAACACTTGATAACATGGTGACGGTTGTGCCAGGCATAAGTCTTGCAATAGATAGCAAGTACATTTTGGTTTCTATGTAGAAAATATCCCCTCTATGATAAGGAAGTCCTGATTGGCACAGAAGCAGCTGATAAACAAGACTTTCAGAGGATGGAAATGTAGGGAACAATATTGGATAAAGAGTAAGCACCTGATTTTAGTTTTTTTACGAAAAATTGAAAATTTTACCTGATCCATGGATCTTTTAAGCCCCTTGCAGCTAATGCACGCTCTAAATCAGTTAACATTGGTAGATCTTTGGCCTTGTACATCCTCCAGTCTGGTATTTGGAACTTTTCACCCCCTCCCATGGTTCTGGAGGAGGAAACTGAGCCGAGAATGTAAAAAAATAAAGTGAAAATTCTAAAATGGCTGAGAGACACACAGACACCTTGACACACGTGACCAATTTCAGCCTATCAACGAGCCAGAATATCTTTCAGCAATGGCGGCAATAAAAATTTTCAGTTTCAGAAAATAATACGTTTATGCTAAATGATTGATGAATCATACACTTTTTAACGTTTTGTTCATATCGCTGACACTGTGAACTTTCAATGGTCCTCCAGCACCTTGCAGAAGAGGTAAGTTCAACATTATTTCTTCCTAAAAAACGACCAACTGTTGATCAAGTCAAAGTCAAATCCATTTCTGGTGAGGTAGCCTACACATGTATTATAAGTGAGGTTCACCATACTTTTCGTTAAACCAAACCCTTGTGTCCACAGTTATCTACTCCTTGTGTCGTAGAGCATTGAACAATGTTTGGGCCAGAAATTGTCCAAGGCAAAAAGTTTGGTAAACTGTTGAAAAACACACTGCTTCTTCAATGTATAGATCTAATATGCGCCGGCTCATTTGTTGATATTTTTAAAAATCGTTTATTGTGAAATGCCGAAACGGTAAAATACCGAACTGCGAAAAAATTGAACGCATTCTGTCCGGTTTTTGCACGCGATTGCCGTTTATGTCACGCATTTGGTACAAAATATGTACGCATTTGTTTTGAAAATGTGTACACCTGTTATCGCAGGCCTGTCAACTGTCCCGCAATTTGCGTATTTGTCATGCATTTGCTGAAGAATTTGAAGTCACGCCAGTTTTTTTTTGCGTGACAGAGAATGTAACGCAAATACGCATTTTAGAGTCCATTTCACTGCTTCATTTCGTCAGTAGAACGGCAAAAATAAGAAATTGGGAGACCATTGTGCAATGATATATGGAAAAGTATATTCATAATGTACATGAATGACATTTGTATATTTCAGATCTTTTAGTTTTTTGTGCAATAAGCCTGTGCTGTCTTGTAATTTGAAGAATTTCAGCCATGTTAATCTTATTGAAAATACATTTAACATGGCAGAGAAACATCCAAATATAAGAGGCCACACACTTTATAAGCCAAACTAGAAGCAATCCAAGATATACAAATGTCATTCATGTACATTATGAATATTCTTTTCCATATATTATTGCACAATGGTCTCCCAATTTCTTATTTTTGCCGTTCTACTGACGAAATGAAGCAGTGAAATGGACTCTACTTGGTAATTGTCAAGCAAAAATATTTCTGAAGAAAAATTTCTAAAAAAGTTCGTCGATACAAAAATACGAACACCAAAAAAAAACATACGCATTCCGTTCGGACTTTTCATGTGAATCACGTATATGTCACGCATACGCGTTCGGAATTTTTCTTACCTACCTAGTCAGCCTGTTGGATAAATATAATATTTTCAGATTTTTTTAGAGATTTCTGTTGATGATGCAAATATGGCTGAGATATGTTTAGAATGTACCAGAGAGTGTCTAATTTTTTTTTTGGTGAGGCATCATGGGGAGTAGGTTCGTAAAAATCATGTCACTTGTGACCAGGTTACATCACTCGACATTATTAGGCAAGAATTAATAGAAGTTGACGATATGTTGAGCACATTTCAACATCAATGTAACAGAAAACACCACATTTACTTGTAAGTTAACTATGCACTATTTATTATGTTGACACATGTTTATACCAAAAAGGTATGAAGATTCTGTCTAACTCGTGAAATCATGGGAAAAGTAAAATCATATCTTGGACTAATCCATTTTGTTTCTGAAATGGATCTGTTTTTGTAAAGTGTTCCACCACAGTGCTCCTGTGTACAAATATTAAACCAGTATTCTGTCACTTCATTAGTACAAAATAACAGAACTTTTGAAATGGACAGACCCCTACCCTCTTCTCACAACCCCCCCTCTCTCTCCCATATTTACAAACTTTAAAACTATAATCTCACTCATTGTAAAATTTTCCTCATTTTAGCCAACTCTGGTTCAGGCATGTTTCCATGGTGACCCAGAGGAGGTGCGATCTCTACTCTACAAGAAAGAAGATGTGAACTATCAGGTTTGTAGACATATTTGCTCTCACTTAAAACACGATCTGTCAGTTTTCTATCTAGCCTAAAATGTCAACCAAGATTCAAAGTCATATCCATTAAATAAGGGTTATGTACTAATTGTACTTGGAGGTTTTGGATATGCATATCTCCTGAGGGATAAACCCCATATCCATGCCAACCATTACATACTAATTTATCATATTACCCGGTAGAGTTTTCAGGGAGATTAAATGACCACTGCAATAGTAAAATGTGTGAAAATAAACACATAATTCATATGCGAAGTCATTTTATTGCATTTTCACTTTTTTTCGGAAGTGGGAAGAAATGCACCGGGAGTGGGAGATATCGAGGTTCTGGATATGGAAGCCTTAAAATCAGGATACAGGATATATCTCCCTAAAACTACTGGGCATATTAAATGTTTATATTAATAGAGATGTATATTGGTTGATTGATGCATATCTGTTCAGGATGCAGAGAAGCGTACACCTCTGCATGCAGCATCCTACTGTGGGGAAGCTGAGATTGCAGACTTACTCATACTTAGTGGAGCTAGGGTGAATACAAAAGACAACAAATGGTTGACACCCTTGCATAGGGCATGTTGTTCCAGGAATGAGGTAATATTTCTTTGAAAATTGGAACTATAGTATGTTAGATTATAAAACAGTTGATACTAATCTTCCCTTCTGATTTTACATGTAAATTCTGATTTTGCCTGTTATAACAAAACATATCTACAAATGTTTCAAAGTAGCTAAAATATCCAAACTATTCATAAATTTCCTGATTTCTCAATTGGGTTCAGAGTGAATTTCAACTATGTCCAAAGTAATTGTCTTCATGTAATTCAGGAGTAGATGCAGTAACATATTGTACACTGTTAGTATTAGTTTTAATGGAATAAATTAATTTGATATTTGGGTCAACAAGTACATGTAATAAACATACCTTAATTGTAAACATTAGCTGATAACCTACTGTACAATAATAGAAATATTCTATTACAAACCTAACTTCTATATACAAACGTACTTTTGAATAAAATTGACTCATACACGTTTAATGAAAACATTATATTGTGTTATTCTAGGATACTGTAGAGACATTACTTAGGCACCAAGCTGATGTGAATGCTCGTGATAAAAACTGGCAGACTCCGCTACACGTAGCAGCAGCGAATAATGCCGTAAAATGTGCAGAATATATCATTCCATTACTTACCAATGTTAATGTATCAGACAGAGCAGGACGTACCAGTTTACATCATGCAGCTTTCAATGGACATAAAGAGGTATTTCCCTGTTTTCGTTTTCTTATCTTACATATATCAAAAAGGTGGATGTTTGAATGTGTAATCCTTTTTAGGTCAAAGTAACAAATTTGCTAACTTCTCTCATGTTTTATTTTGGTGTCTATATTATAAATGAATCAAAGGTTCCATAGGATATTAAAATGTGTATAAAGATTAATGAAAAGTATGAGTATATACACTGTAATTTGTACATATTTTCAGATGGTTCAGTTGCTCTTGGAGAAAGGTGCAACTATTAATGCGTTTGACAAGAAAGATAGGAGGGCCATACACTGGGCTGCATATATGGGCCATGTTGAGGTTGTCAGACTTCTTGTTAACTTTGGTGCAGAACTCAACTGCAGGGATAAACAGGTACATTGGACACTCCTCAATTGCTCTTAATGTTTCAGTGCACAACTGTGATCTGCTGTGTTCTTTATTTCCCTTTGTTTCACCATATAGTTGAAACTCTTTCCTTGAAGTATTATGATAGTTTGTTGTTGATGAAGTTATTGATGAAAAATGAATTGAATGCTTTCTATTCCAGATGTATACCCCATTACACTGTGCTACAGCCAGTGGTCAAGTGAGTGTCATCAAGCTGTTGTTAGAGCTTGGAGTAGATGCTGATGCTGTCAATGTGTATGGTAACACATGTCTACATGTGGCATGTCTCAATGGACAAGATGTTGTCGTCAACGAACTATTGCTCAATCAAGCTACTATAGATTCATATAACCACAAACACCAGGTAATCCACCAGATATTTTTGTTTTTACTTTGTTCTTTGACTTGGAATTTGAAGTGATGAAACAAACACAATCGGAATCCAAAGTAGATTTATTGATATTAACTGAAGATTTTTAGGACACATTTTTTCAAAGATAAGGCTCACATTGCAATGTTTCATATAATTTTTCAGTTCTGTTCTTAGAATGTAAAAATAACATGATGTCTATAGAGTCCTAGCTTCAGTTAAAGCTTGCTGTGTAAGCTTATATACCTAGAAGATCAATTCTTATATGTTAGTGTGGAACAATATGTGTGAACACTTATAACAATCATATTCCAGACACCCCTGCATTATGCAGCAGCCTCCACTCATGGTGCAATGTGTCTGGAAATACTCGTCAATGAGGGTGCCAACACTAATGTTCAATGTAAAGATGGCAGGACTCCACTACATATGACAGCCCTCCATGGTCGTTTTACCCGTGCACAGACTCTTATTCAACATGGTGAGTTGAAAATATGTTACACACTCAAAAAAATCTTTGTAAAAAGTGATCTGTCCTCACATATATATGTGCTATAAGAAATTTACAGCCATACGAATGATCAAATGTTCATTATGTATCTTTATGTAAGGTTAGCCCCTTAAATGCATATTTAATGAATATTTTTGAAATCAACTGCAGCTACATTCAGGATACAAGGATTAGCAATAATCAGGCAGACATTTTGTACATCTGTGAGTACTTGAGTAATAGTTACATGTACTATCAAGAAAATTGAAATAAGCCAATTGTGACTGACCTAAATGAGAGCATATTGTTTCATTGTAGGAGCTGTGGTAGATTGTGAGGACCATGATAACAACACTGCTCTACACATAGGGTCAAGATATGGTCATGAGTTGCTAATGAATACACTGCTCTCTCATGGAGCTGAGCCTTTAAGGTAAATTTTCACAACTGCGAAACTAAAAGTAGCTTTTATCATAAACGTAATCCCTATTTAAGATGGTTCTTCATTCTTGATTTTGTATTAACTCCTGTCCTAAAATTTAGCAGTTTTCTAAAAAAGCCCTCAGAGCCCTTCTGTTGGTCATGTACTAAATCACCATATAAAGTACTCACTATGGTACTATTTATTCAGCATAGGTTCTTCCCTTACAATTTTCCTCTCTGGGCGCAATATCTTACCCTCTGTGTACATTGTATTTGTTATTTCCAGACGAGGGGTATGTGGTATGTTGCCTATACACCTAACAGCACTGAATGGTCACCTTGATTGCACCCGCAAGCTGCTTAGCTGTACAGAAGACTTTGATATAGATACTCCTGATGACCTTGGCAGGAGTTGCTTACATGCTGCAGCATGTGGGGGGTAGGCAAGCATTTATCACAGTATATAATTTGTAAATTCATTTGATTTGATTATCCAGTTTGTTACCTTTTTGAATTTGCCACTTTCAGAACATTGGCGGCTATTTAGTTCAGCTAATAAAAAACCCATAGGATAACATGAAAATGTGGTTATCGACAAATATTGAAATTGGCGGTCTTTTACAAAATTCATAAAAAGCTAAATTAAATGAAGGCCATGTATTTTCCAGAAATGTTGAGGTGCTAGAGATGCTTTTAAGTGCAGGTGCAGGATTCCACCTCACTGATCAGGAAGGTCGCCTACCTCTACATTACGCCTCAGCCAATGTCAACTACCAATGTGTGTTGTGCCTGGTTGCCATGGGGGAGGGTCTCAACATCCAGGACTCTAGTGGGTGTGCCCCATTACATTATGCAGCAGCGGCCGATTCAGACGCCAAGTAAGTTAATAACATTGGTCTTCTATGTTTAACATTGGTTTTCTATGTTATGGTTTTCCGACTAAGTGTTGAGATGGTTTAACATACTAATAATAAGGTTCTTAATAAAACAAATTCTCAACACTTAAAATGATTTCAGAATTCAGTTGTCTTCATGTTTTGAACAATTATTGCATTTTGTTTGTAGGGTTGTGGAACACTTGCTCAGGAATGATGCTAATGCCAGTCTCAAAGACCACAACGGTTACAATGCAGTACACTATGCAGCCCTCAAGGGCCATAAAATACCACTACAAATGGTCAGTATTACAATACAGACTTGTAGATCCTCTTGGAGTTCACATGTTTTAAATATCTTATAAGTAAGATGTTGATCTTAACCCAGATAACATATTCATATAATTCAGTATCTTCAATATCATTGTAAATGAAAATGTAAACTATTGTAAGAGCTTTTTATGTCACCACCACAATAATAATTGTTATAGTCTCCAACTTTTTTGTGGATGGCGTTTGGATGTTGGCGTTTGTCATTCAGCAGTTGGTGTCTGTAACAAATGGTAGGCTGTAACATTTTTCCTGTTTATGCCTTGTTTCTATTGTATTTTGTTTTTATCTTATACTTATTCTGTTTTTATCTTATACTTATTCTGTGTTTACAGCTTCTAGATGCAGCAGCCACAGATCTTCTTAGTAGGAAGTCAGTGCAGTCTGTCTCCTCTCCCTTACATCTTGCAGTGAGTATGATAAGAGAAACACTGGTTTGCTACTAGGCTCATTTAGCTTATGTAGCAGATTCAAAGTTACACCTATACAGACTAGACCATTTAAGACTATGTCATATATAAAATTTAAGTTTCGAGTGAGAAAGAGAACTTATTTTTAAATTAAGAATTCAATACCATGAATCAGATATGAACATTTTGGATACAATAATATTGTTATTATCAAACAAATTCCTCTCAGTCTTTGTCTTATGAAAATTTAGAGAGCAGTTGGTGAAATATGCAATAAATCCTGTAACAACATAACTCTTTTAAGTTATTTATCGCATACACATTTATGGGGTTGGCAGCGTTGGCTTCATGAACCATCTCTTGTTTTAAATTGCATGTTTTATTGCTTTTAGGCCTACAATGGGCACAGTGAAGCATTACAAGTCCTTATGAATTATATAATGAATTTAGATATACGAGACTCTGAAGGTATGTTGTTAAGACTCCAACTGATTAATTATAAATTTTTAACATTACTACATATACTATGTATTATATTTTGCTTTTCCAAAATGAAGTTGATTATGATTCTATATAGTTCTTATATTCTCTAGTAATTAGAAAGTCTTACTTTTAGAAGAATCAATTTTGTTTTTTAAGTTTATTATGTCACCATGACGTTGTGTGATTTCACTTTACTCTAAAGCTGTTGCATTCCAGGTAAAACCGCTCTCCATTGCTGTGCAGTACAGGGTCACACAGAATGCTGTGATACATTGGTGACACAGGGCAAAGCTTCCATACTCACATACGACAACATATCAAAAACCACTCCAGTGCATTTAGCAGGTAAGCTACCTAATTGACAGTTGAAATGTTGGTATCATTAAGTCTTGGTAATGCATCATTTTCAAATAAGAAAGTTTTTTTTGAAAGAACCTTTGAAAGAACTTGCCACAATATAGTAATCACTTTAAGATATCTTCTTGTTTGTGACTGTGCATTTAAGCATATTCTAATTTTTTCAAAACTCCAACCTTCATGACATACTACCTTCTATTCCAGCAAGCAGGGGGCATACAGATTGTTTAAAAGTGTTCATAGACAACACAGAGTGTCTACAAGAGGTTTTAGACTGCACAGATGAGCAAGATAGAACGCCTCTGATGTTCGCTGTTGGTAATGGTCATGTAGATTCTGTACTACTACTTATAAGCCAAGGGGCTAATATACATGCTCGGGATATTTTTGGCAGGACAGCCTTGCATCGAGGGGTATGTACTGGTTTTATATATTGAGTTATACAGTATCATTGCCTCCATTTTTGAACTGTAGTGGGATATTAAAAAATCAACTTTGATTTGAAAGCAAATACATGCATATGCATGTTAATACTCAAGTTCATAACCATATATAATTGTCATTGTAATTCCTACCACAGGCAGCCAATGGTCATGAGGAGTGTGTAGATGCCTTGCTACATAATGGTGCTGATGCTGGGAGCAGGGACATCAGAGGTAGAACCCCACTGCACCAGGCAGCATCAGGGGGTCATGTAGGCATGCTGGGGGCATTACTTCAGGTTGGTTACACTATAGTCTTGAATGAAATCAGAACTGCTACAGAATGAGAACTCTTAAATGGTTATATAGAACTATTCATCCGGAAAAGTCGTATATCTCTTATGTTCAATTTCTTTATTGGATCTTAAATAAGAGTTCAATTGTAGTCCTTAAAAGCTGATGTGTTATTGAATATGACATAGACATTGTTGGAACTAATATGGATCAAACATGGAAATTGTAGGAAACACATACTTTCATGGAAGTCCTGGTCTTAAATGATCCTTTCATTATGTCTGATTTGTTGTAGTAAATGTTCTTGTGCAGTTATTGAGCTGATGTGTTACCAGATTTGAACAACATATTTGAACAATATTAGATGTAACCCAGATCACAAATCTAGAACTTGCCTAGTACACTTTCATAAAAGTTCCAGAACTGTAAGATCCATCATTTTGTCCAATTTGCTGTAGAAAGCGTTCTTGAACTGATTTGTTATCTTCTTGAACTTAATACAGTAACTTTAATACAGTAACTTTATTGGGACGATATAAAGATAAAAAATCTTGAATGAGAACTAGACCCCAACCTTGAAAATATTGGACTGTAATGGATATGTACTGAATGCAATTGTTGATTATGGTATATTTGTTGTTATTAATGTATTTACCACTGTTGTTTTGATATTGTGTTTATTGATGATGTTGTTCATATAACAGGTGGGACCTTCATGTTGTGTAGAAGACAAGAAACAATACACACCCCTGCATTGGGCCGCATATAATGGTATGAACAACCTTAGTTAATCTTGTTAATACATGTATTATTATCAGGGGCCCATTACCAGAATTTTCATACAGCTCAGAAGTTAACTTTGGCTAATGTTTTCTTTCCTTGACATCACATTTTCCCTCAATAATGGGAATCTTAATTTACGGAAAACATTTGGAACCTTCAAATGAGATAATAAATCGTCAAATAAGATACCAAATGAATTGTGCACTCTGGGAAAACACAAACAACAGAAGTAACATTATACATAACCTTAACAATAACACTTGTGTCATTCAGTTCTACAATTAAGATATTTTTCAATGTTGGATTTAAATCCTAAAACTGAATTATCATATGCTGATTATAGTTTAGGTTGCCTTGTTGCCTTATCACATACATTCATATTTGTTAATGCTTTGTAATTGCAGGCCATGATAGCTGTGTTGAGTTATTACTGGAGCATGATGAACACATGGAATTTAAAGGCAACTTGTTCAATCCTCTGCATTGTGCAGCGTAAGTAGATTTTCCAGACAACTAGAGGGTTTAAGTTAATAGAATATGTCCTGCAGGGGGTTGTAAATGGAGAACTCTGCTTTGGTGGTCAGTCAATTACAATTTACTTCATCCACTGGTATCCTTCCAATTAACACTTATTAATTTGAAATACATGTAGTATATATCACTTATTTGTTAAAAATGTTAGTATCATCTTTTCAGATGTTTATCCTATTAATAATACAGTATATGTCATCCAGCTGCCAAAAAGAAAGGCTGGAGCATGGGATTTGTATACTCTCATGTACCTATAGGCTACTTTTGCTAAAGAAAGCTGCATTTTATCACTTCAATTATAGTTTTGTTTCTTGATAATTTTTTCTAATTTGATTGTTTTTCTAATCTTGTTGCTTTGTTCCAGGATCAATGGGAATGATACGTGTACAGAACTCTTATTGGAGATGAATGGAGAAAAAATTACAAATACATGTGATAGTAAAAATAGGTAAGCATTTTTCTAACACTTGTTATGTTACGACCACAAGTGGAGGCATATTGTCATGGGCTCCTTTTTTATGATGGCAGATGGCTTCTGGGGTCTGTAATGCCTCAATTTGTCCAATTTTGTTTTAAAATCATCTACAAGTTGTCAGAAGTCAAAATCTGACTTAAGTTTTAAGATTTGACCTTCAATGACCTTCTCAAGGTAAAAATGTATTTTTCAACTTGCCTCAAATTGACCAATTTTTCTTTGTGAAATCATCTACAAGTTGTCAGAAGTTCAAATCTGACTTAAGTTTTAAGATTTGACCTTCAATGACCTTCTCAAGGTAAAAATGTATTTTTCAACTTGCCTCAAATTGACCAATTTTTCTTTGCGAAATCATCTACAAGTTGTCAGAAGTTCAAATCTGACTCAAGATTTAACTCATAATATTGTGAGCAACTAGGTGGTGTCATGTTAATGCCTTGTGTAGTTGTTGGGTTAGTCAAGATGACCATAACTGATGTAGAATGTATATTATTTGTATTGATACCAGTTTTTGCATGAGGTAATAGTTCAAATTTTGACCTATCGCCAATTATGGCTATACAAAACGTAATACCAGCTTGCCAGAAGCGGTAGTAGACCGCGGTAGTAATTGCTGGTAGTAAACTTGTTCCAACATGGAACCATTCAAATTGTCTTTCACTACCATTCGGCAAAGTTTTGACGAAAATGAAACTGAAATTAACATTAAGAATGGACTGTCAATAAATCAAGTGTTTATGATTGGACAACTAGCGACAAGTATATAATAAACAGACTAAAATTTCTTTCAAAATAGTGATAATTGTGGTGCGTCATGACCGAGAGATATCACGTGACGTAAAATGCAGTTTCGATTTGAACTTTTTTATTTTTTATCATTGTTTCAACATCTTTGAAACAATAGAAAATCACACAGGATATACATGATGATACAATACATTCACTTCAGTTGATGCAAGCACCGGGAATCAAAATGAAAATAGCTTCGTTATGGAATATTTTAGATTGATATTGTCAAATACAGGGTGATCACTAAGTTCTGGGAATTTATCTGTCATTTCATTATTTTTCAACCAATTTACTTGAAATTTTCAAGGTAAATGGGGAATGTAATTTTGGGTTGGATAAAACAGTCTCAAAGTCATCTGATGTCACAATGGATAATTATTGTTACTATAGCAACATGACGAATGGCGTAGCGGGTCAAGTAAAATAAAAATGAATTCAAATTTTGCTTGATCCAAAACTATGGTTAATAAATACCTATTTGGTGGACATATTTCTGTGATTTTTTATATTTTTCAAATACTTCTAACTTTAGTTTCTAAAGTAACATCTTTATTGTTATATAAGAGTGTACTTTGCTCTATTTTCGTACCATTCATCAGCATCTCAAAGTCACAATCATGACTAAAAATAGCGGGGAGTTATCTTCCATTATGACTATGCTCCTTCCCATTACTCAAGCTGCCCATACTACTCTTGAAGAATTAGGGTTCACACTGCCCAATATTCACCAGACAATATTCACCAGATGAAGCACTATTAGACTTCACTACATTTTGGGTGCTAAAGCATTATATGAGAGGTCATAAGTTTGATTCCGATAAGGGACTGATTTCAACGGCTTGAGCAAATCTTCAAGGGATACAAAAGGGAGGACTGAAACACATCTTTATGGACTAAGTTTGTCAAAAATGCATGTGCATCCAAGCTAATGGAAACAATCATTAATGAAATGATTCTCTCAGCAATGAAGAACACTTCTGAATAAATGACTTCAAGAGTACTGTTCTGCCTCCAGTACAAGTAGTTTGAAGCAACCATCTAAGCAAGATGAATACGTTTTGGCAGGAAATTTTCAAATTAACATCAGTCAAAATTTGCTGACCCGCGAACCACTTTTACTTTTTTTCTAATGACAATAAAATAAATTGTAGATGTGATATGTATATGAAACATTGCTTGTCAATTCAGAATTATACAATGTACACTTGCTGAAAATTTCAACTCAGATGGTTGAAAAATCTTGAAATGGCAGACCAATTCCCAGAACTTAATGATCACCCTGTATATTAGTTTCACTTTCAATTTTTCCCGAGAATTCAGGGTGGTAAGCTACCAGTCAAGCACGTCATAACGTTTATAGTATTTTAGATCAAATTTACGAATGAAATACTTTCAAGTCATTTGGTTTAACTATCAAATGGAGGGATCAAGTTCGGTGTGGGTTTTAGCTAGAGGCAATTTTACATGACCTAAGCCAAAATGGCAAAATGGCCATTTGAAAGCGCCTTGCCAGATATGGCGACATGTAAAAAAGTTATTTTGCACACTGCAGGGTGGGCCAAAAAGACATAAATAATTGCTTTTGTAAGTATATGTACAGTATATGGATTTTGAAATTGTCAAATTGGTTTGCAGGGTGAGCCTGTAAATATGGCCTCCCTGGAATGTGCAAACTCAACATTGAAATCCTTCTATATTAATATTCTTTGTCATGTCACAAAATAACGCATTGTCCAATCTGACCTGTCTATTAAAAAGAAGACATTCGAACTGTTTTTATCTCTATGGGTGCTATATTGTGATTAGCTTACTGTGCTGGTGGATGGGTGTATGGGTTTAATTTTGTACAGCATTTCCTGGCAAAATGTTTGATGGATTGATTTCAATTTTAACTTAAAAATCTGTTTCAAGCCAAATGGTTTTGATGGGTTCATATGCTTCTCAGTGTGAACATTGAGAACTTCTTAGTTATCCCATCGAACGAAGTTCGGAGGGATATAGGGAACGCCTCCGTCCGTCCGTCCGTCCGTACGTACGTCCGTCCGTACGTGTCCGTCCGTACGTACGTCCGTCTGTCCGGGCAATAACTCAAATACCGTTGGCCCGATTTTGTTCATATTTTGTACACATATACCCTATGGGGGTAGAAGTTCTGCTCGAAAGCCGATTTTCAAAATGGCCGCTCATTTCAAAATGGCGGCCATTTTAGTGCCAATTTTACAGTAATTTAGGTGCAATATGTAAAACTGTAATAGCAATATGTTTTAAATGTAAAAAATTATAAAGGACATAAATAATGCTACAAATGTAGATATTAAAGAAGCGCATGGCAGCCATCTTCAAAAAAGGCGGCCTTTACTCGTCATTTTACGATTTTTGCTGTAACTCAAAAAATAGTGGAGCGATTTTGTTCATATTTGGTATGTGAATACTATAAGCATTGCACACTGTCTAAAGACACTTTTGGTAGAAGGCGGCCATTTTGAAAAATGGCCGCCATTTTAACGTATTTTACTATAACTCGAAAAGTAGTGGAGCGATTTTGTTCATATTTGGTATGTGAATACTATAAGCATGGCACACTGTCCTATGACATTTTTGTGAGAAGGTGGCCATTTTGAAAAAAATTTTGAAAAATGGCCCCCATTTTAACGTATTTTACTATAACTCGAAAAGTAGTGGAGCGATTTTGTTCATATTTGGTATGTGAATACTATAAGCATGGCACACTGTCCTATGACACTTTTGGTAGAAGGTGGCCATTTTGAAAAAAATTTTGAAAAATGGCCACCATTTTAACGTATTTTACTAGAACTCGAAAAGTAGTGGAGCGATTTTGTTCATATTTGATATGTGAATACTGTAAGCATGGCACATTGTCTAATAAAACTTTGGATAGTAGTCGGCCATTTTGAAAAATGGCCACCATTTTTATGTGTGTTATTTTACAAGTACGTGTGCGATTTTTCAAAAATTTTAGAGGTGGCTACTTAAAAGCATATTATTTCTTCTGATGACACCTTGGCAAGTGAGCAACCATTTTGAAAATGGTGGCCTTTCTGGTGTGTTGTTTTATGATATTTGCTATTCGTTTGTAAAAATGCCAGCTATCTCTGTTCGATGGGATTCGCTACGCTTTGGCGTTGCCGTTGTTCTGGTTCACTTTCTATTCTATTTAAGGTGAGATATTGTTCACCCTGTGTCTTGTATAAATGATGAGGAAAATGAGGCACACTTATTAAAGCCCATTAACCTCCAAATATGATTTTACTATGTTAACAGGTCTGTTGTATTGCTATATGATATTGTCGGTAGTTTTTGTATTTGTTTTTGGACAAATGTTTAAACATACAATGTACTTGGTACATCGAGAACATTTTCAATGTAATTGTTGTTACCAAGTTCATGTTAGAAGACCTCAACATTGTATCACAACTTTAGAGCCTATAGACATTTGGTGCAGTGCCAGTTGTAAATGCTTTTAAACATTAACACTTAAAATCATGTATTACCCCACCTGTCGCATAATAAACTACCAGGCAGTGTAATTACAGTTGGGAACTCTGTTAATAAAAGGGAATGAAAAGCTATTAAACAATTCAATCTGTGGAATATTAATTTTCAAATTGTATATTAAAGCGCCAACCCAGTTTATTAAATTAAATGAACATCTGATATACTAAGAAATTAACTTTAAAATATGAACAACAATAACAATATATTGGAGTAAAAAATATAAACTATAATTAACTGTGACAGTGTTATTTTAGTACATCATTATTATTTTTTGGACAAAAGACAAATACTGGTAAAACAAAAAGTTGTACTACCTACTGGAATAATTAATGAGAAGAACAATTACAGAATCGCAATTTTTAAGTTAGATTATCAGGATTATCCACCAGAAGCTATATCAATGGAGCATAACTAAAGTGATCAGCTAAAGTTCAACTAAATATAAATCTTGTTTATGATTTATGATCATAAAAGGTGAACAATGATCTTACTGGACAGGGAAAATACCAGTGATGAAATTGGAAACAAAATAGAAAATATTGAGTTAAAAGAGCTTATTAAACAGAAGAGCAATTCATTAACTAAACGTCACACTTTCTTGAAATATAGAAAATGGAAGTCATTAAATGATATAGCTGATCATAACAAATATGGGGACACTAGTGTAGGTCTTAGGTTTTACAATGCTTCCAGAGGAACCTGGTGTAGATTATCAAAAAGTCGATCCCCCTCTTATAGGTACTGTATCAGAGATTTCAAGTACAGTCTGAACTGTGCAAAATGTCAGTATCTACTGCAAATTAAATGTCTTTTATGCAATGCCTGCCTAGTTTTCCTAAAAAGAAAATTATTGCAAACATGTTTCTTATGGATGCTTTTAAAAAGTTTTTGAATTCTAGTTTGGCAACTTGAGAATATATTAAAAAAGAAGATATGAAGCTGATCATTGGGTCATATTTGCAAAAAACTCTAAAAGGTGACTATAGGTACACCTTAGATGTTTGATCATTAACTGATTGTTTTCTCTGGAAATGTTCTGTTAAAGGATGCGTATAGATATCCAGCTCTTTGAGTTGTCTCTTTGACTAGACAGGCTGTTAACCCCTTTACTGTAAGTCTAATTTACTAGGACAATTTAACATTTCTATAATGATCTGTTTTAATTGCATTTAATCATTCTGCTTTCAGGTCACCCCTCCATGCTGCAGCATTCAATGATCAATGTGAATCCCTCCAACTACTACTAAACCATGGGGCTGATGTTAACAAAGCAGACTCCATTGGGAAAACCGCACTCATGTTTGCTGCCTCTAATGGTCAATGTGGAGCTATAGAGATCTTACTGGACAGTGGGGCAGATGTAGGATTAACAGATGAGGAGAAGAACTCAGCGCTCCACCATGCATGTTTTAATGTAAGTCAATACCAGTCTTTTGGGTAGGCTAATGAGTAATCTGGTTTAATAATGTGAAACTTTTCCACGATAATGTGAATATTATCATCAGCCATATATCAAGCCAAATTTCAAAACATTATTTGATTTCTATTTTAGGGCCATGAGAGTGCCTCCTTGTTGCTGTTGGAAAAAATAGAAGACCCTGTTATAGCAAACATTACCAATATTGAGCTCAGGACGTGAGTATATTTCTCTTGCTTATTTCAGAGTCTTTAAACTTTGCTTGCCAGTTACTTTTTGCATTTTTGATTTAGACAATCTAAAACTTTTGTTGAGTTAAAATGAAACTTGAGTTAAAATCAATAGGGATGAAGAATCATTTAATATTTTTATATGCATGATCCGTTGATCTTTTATGTACATTGAATAATATAAGCATTTTACACTGTACTATATTTTATTAGTGGATCTATTATGCAAATAAAATTATCCATTTAATCCACCTACTACATTAGTAAATATGAGAAATGTTGTTTCAGGCCTCTGCATATTGCTGCAGGGAAGGGTCTCATTCCTGTTGTTCAAACACTCATCTCAAAAGGAGCCAGTGTTTTAGCTGTAGATGAAAATGGTAAAAATGCATTTTATAAAACAGAATATGATACCTATTGGGGCGGGGTCAAAATATCAATGTTCATATGGAGACGAAAGTAATTTCGTTTGGACAACAACCCCCCCACCCCCCCTCTAGACGAAAGCTTAGGTCACTTCAAAAAAACATTGGCATAATCGTATCCTATTTGCCGGGTTATTATTACGGTAAATTAACACACGTTCGCAATTTAACTGCATTGAACTCTTCAAAAGGAGGAGGGAAAAGTACTGAATTTATTTGAAAAATGATCGAATTATCGTCTTTATCTACCGATATTTTGGACCTATCACACAAAAAAGCTCACGAACTATTGAAAACAAGCCTTTTTATCAGAACATAGCGCCAGAAAAAGTGGGTAAGTCCAATTATTTTTTGTATATCAGATCCGAATTATCGATGTTTTTTTGGTCAACGAAAGTGACCAAAAACCCCCTCCCCCCTCGCGAAAGTACTTTCGTCTCCATATGAACATCGATATTTTGACCCCGCCCCTAAAGAAGAAAAGATATATCACTTTGTTTCATTGTATAAATTGAGAAAATCTTGAATTATTAACTTGAACTGAAAGAGTCAGCTGCAGGGTTCAATTTAATAGACATATACCTATATACCTATTCAAATGTTTTTTAAGGATTTTATGCCCATTATGTAATGTCATTTACAACTTATATATATATAATAGTTTACCATTTTACTTCACACCTATCCTACTAGTTGATTTTTGAAGTAATTTATTGATATCTCATATCACATGTATTATATTATATGCACAACATACATTAATTTAAGTGACATTGATTGTGTTTCAGGCTACACCCCAGCACTTTCATGTGCCCCTAATGCTCAAGTTGCCGATTGTCTTGCTATCATACTAGCTCAGATGATGCCATTCAACCCCAATAACTCATTCAAACCACCATCCCGTATCAACAGTGGTACTATTAATCTTGGTAGTTTAGGTATGCTTTAAGTTTTCATTAGAAATTAGGTTAAATATAGGTGTATACCCAATGATTGACTTGCTTTAATTATCCTTTACTGTTTTAAATTAAGATTGTTGAAATATTTGTACCTTTGTTCCTTTATTAGGCAGGTGACTATGTGTAATAAGCTCCAGTGAATCAAGGCAATGAGACAACCTTACTTCACAAAAAATTTGACTTGAAAATCCAGACAGTTTTGGAATCTATGATTAGATAGTAAAGCTAGTTTAGGAAAATAAGACCCCTTTAAGCCAAACATAAATGATAATCAAAAATCTTTGTATCACGTTACAGGTGGTAGGAGTTTAGATAATACTGTTGACAGTCCTGGTAGTTTACAAGATGGCAAGGAACACTCTGGGAGTGTACAGAGTTCAGATTCTGAGTTCTACTAGCTGACAATGGAGGTCTTCTTCACCCAGCATGCATCACCACTCAACAGGTTTATCTATCCCAGTTTGCAACATGTCAAACATACAAAGGATATTGATGTGTGTTAAGCTATCTCAGGTTTACAATTCTGCTGGCCTAAAGTATAGAAGCCCATAGCATAATAACAGGAGCCTACCTTGCCCCAGAATGCACTGCTACACACATATGATATGTGCCAATTTCTGCATGCAAAATGAAACATCTAAATAATACCTCTACGATTGTGTTATCATTATTATGTCACCACCACAAGCGCTGACATATTGTTATAGTCTCCATACTTCTTGTGTTTGCAGTTGCTGTGGTGACATTTTGCATGTTGATGCCTTGTTGTTGATCAATGGTTGTCATTTTCATGACATCAGCACGATGGTTGTTAAAATATATACAGAGAAATTATATTGCAAGAATTATAAGAGTAAATTATATGTGATTTATAATAAATTAACATTGTGAAGATATAGGAAAACATGTTAAGAAATGGAAAGACATTGTGAAGATATGGGAAAACATGTAAAGAAATGGAAAGACATTGTGAAGATATGGGAAAACATGTAAAGAAATGGAAAGACATTGTGAAGATATGGGAAAAAATGTAAAGAAATGGAAAGACATTGTGAAGATATGGGAAAACATGTAAAGAAATGGAAAGACATTGTGAAGATATGGGAAAACATGTAAAGAAATGGAAAGACATTGTGAAGATATGGGAAAACATGTAAAGAAATGGAAAGACATTGTGAAGATATGGGAAAAAATGTGAAGATAACTTAAAAAATGTAAAGATGTGGGAAGAGATTGGGAGATATATTGGAAAAAATGGTAAGATATTGCAAAACATGTGAAGATATGCGAAAAGATTGTTTATGACCACCTTCCCTGAACAAACATCGCCAGATGTGAACAAGTAAATGTCTACTTATTTCTAGATTTTTGTTAAGTAGAGGACACTTTTATTTTTGCACATTGTTTATTTGTTATTTCTCATTTTTAGACCCCTTATTTTTGGGGCTCTAATAACCCAAGTGTAGGATCAAGTTATAAATACTTATACCCTGCGTAATATGAGTTGCCATAAACCATATACCTCACGTTTTAGGGGTCTGATACTTTCTGTTTTGGGGAGTTCTTATTTTACACCATATCTCAAAAGACTTTCCAGTTATGATATACTTTTGTTATTAATCAACCCACACAAATACAGTAAACCATGCCTTGGTGCAACAACTGTAAATGATTTAATTAGAAATCATATTATGAATTAAGATTAGTTTTATATTTGATCTTATTGATTCTTGTAGAAATAAGCATATTTCAAGTTTCTAACCACTAAATATTATTTGATAAGATTCTTTTTTATGTTGGCTCAACCTCCTATCTGGCTCATAATATATTAATGTTATCAGAACTTTTCACTAAAAAAGTATGGTAAATAGATGTATGCATACATAATGACTTAACCAGCATAATCTAGGTCAATGCACAATCAAACAGAGACAGATTATATCTGCGTATAGGATGTACCTGAACTTTCTATTGAAAATGCAGTATTGTTGTTTCAGAGCTTATTCGACAAAATCAAATCCATGTATGATGTTGATTGTTGAAATTGAAGGGAAAAGATTTAAACAAAATAATAATGTGATTAATTTGAATAATTATTAGGACATTACTATTGGAGTGTCTTCTGAAAAAATGTATAATTGAATAATGGATTGACAAGAAATGGAATTCTTGTATTTGTGATATAACCCCTCGTTCGCACCAGGACACAAATAGATAGATGGGGGGGGGGGGGGGTGTCATAAGATGTGTCACTCTCCTTTTCAGGACGTATACACAAGGTTTGCGATCTCACTTAGAACTAGGAGTGTCTTAAAATGTTTACATTTCACATATCTTCAGGGATTTGCATTCTGTGATTGCTGAATATTCTCAATATTATATAATAAAAGTGAAAACAAAAATAAGATTTACCTCACATTTTGAGAATATTTTGTGAGGCAAAACGAGGAAAATTATATTAAGACTGGGCCTCTTTGAATTTTTGTTATATTTCTGTGGTCAAGCTGCTTCTTTTCTTGTGAAATATTATATGATAATATAACCTAATGTAATACTTTAATCTATATAATAGACAGAGAATGTATAATGGTAATGAATGAGAAAGTATATGTAATATATATTGGGGAATGGACCACCTTTTGTTTTGTTTGTTTCTTTGTTTTACTTAAAAAGGAGAATTATCACCACAAATATGATACGTGTGTTGGCCTATTAAGGAGGCGATTTTAAATCACGGTATGACACGCGGGTATACATGTACCTGAGGTACGGTTTAAGGAAAATTCAGATTCCCGTATTGTACCTTATCGTTAACGCGCGTATATCGTATACTACATTGTGAGTTTGTGAAGGTTTAACTCTGAAATTCACTGTCTAGGATCTTGCTACATTCACATGTAAAAATATCTAGAAACTAGACCAGATCTTTCTGAAACGATGAAAACACCAGTTTGCTAAAATTTCGTCACCCTCGTGTTGTACCTTATGGCCTAGTCACATAGCCCGGCCGATGAGGTTACGATGAGCCAGCGATGCAATTTTCACCGAACTCGGCCGAACACCGGCCGGACATCCGTGGCGTTTGTTGCTTAAAACCGCATCGGTGGTAGCTCGGTGAAATTTTAACTTCGGAGTTAAATTTCACCGGGCTCTCACCGAGCTCCCTCATCATGTCATCGCAGCCCCATCGTAACCACATCGGAAAACACATCGGCCGGTGCACGGCCGAGTATCGGCCGGTGTCCCGTGCATCTGAAGTAGCGGTCACACTAGCCGTGTAGGCTCACCGTTCGCCACCGTGTGGCTAATTATGGCCAGACGGCGGTGCACGGTATGGCCACACGGTGGGTCGTTTCCCGCCCGTTGAGAAACGTTCAGGGAACGTTGCCGTCCATCCACACCCGGCGAATTTTTTGAGCATGCTCAAAACTTTTCCCGTTTGAGTAACGTTCGGTTGCGAACGGTGAAAGCGGTACGGGAATGGTATAAGGACGGTGCGGCCGTTAAGGACACGTTCGCAGAGCGGTAATGGGACGATGGTGGACGTTGACTCTATCAGTGACGGGCTGCGAACGAAAGTGTACCGCTTGGGTACCGTCCGATAAACGAGGTTCAAACGGGGGTTTGAAAGGTCACATAAAAAGGGTTTTCACGGTACCAGCCGCTTAACGCTTAGGTAACAGTCCATTAACGTGTTAACGGCCTTATAACTGCTCCATAACATCCTCTAAACATCCTATTACCGTGAACTCGCAATTGTACCGCCTCGTGACGCAGTGTTGTCACCGTGTTCTGCCGTTTCAACAGTTTTGCCTTCAGTTTATTTAAATATTCAGGTATTGTCCAAGGTTTTGTCCCGTAACTCGAGACATCAGATCAATTCTTCGACTTTCTCATTTGTACTTTGAAGCCACAAATCCACTCAAACCACTTTGACAGAGATTCTTTTGAAGACACTGAGAAAAACAAGTTACAAATATATTTCTTTTATCATACACGAAGAAAATAAATAAATTGCAAAAATGATTAAAGCTCAAATAAAAGTGAAAATAAATGTCCAGTTAGCATTATAAGCCAAACTTCGAACTATCAACTGTTTTATGCATTTTACGTGATCTTTCTGTTCACGTTACCGTCCATCAAAAAGTTGTGAAAGCTTTATTTCTCATTTACACGACCAATTATATAAGAAAAAATTAATAGGGTGGAGGAAGAGCCGATTTCTGTCAGAAAATTCAATAAAACTGCAATATTCATGTTCATGACAACTTAACGTTCACCCATTAATCCCTTAATGATTAAGCTACGGTATAACAAAGATGTGAAGTCTTCCGTGAATTTTCGAGTGATACCCTTCTGAGTTATTCGATTAATTTAAAAAGGCGCGACGTCACCAGCGTGCAAAAAGTCAATATTTTTTGGTATATAACTCAAACGACGCAGGTCTAAGACCTGTAATATATACGTTGACGCAATTATCACAAAATATATGTAGTTGCCGTTTTACAAGACGTTATGAAAATAATATAAAACACCGCCGTCTTTTTTCGAAATCAAATAAGATTTGGCATATTTTTATTAGTGATTCAATAAACTGACTTCAATTCCAATTCGAGTACAGTTCACTTCGAATCCCTCCATTTTAATGAGGAAAAATATTTCTAAACGTTGGAGGGGAGTAAAGGTTCAATCTGTACCTTCCAATAACGCTTTGCGTAAAATGTAATGTCAAAACAAATAGTTACCCCTCAGAGCAATTAGTTTCAAAACGTATAGTAAAAACGTAAAACGTGATATGGTCGGATGAAATATAGATATTGCATGTTTGTCTACCAAAATTGGTCAAGTTCTCGAGACCTATTCATTTTCAACGTATTTTCATGGAATAAACATACTAACTATTACAGAGAAAGACTTAACTCGGTTGACCCAACTAGCTGCTTACAGGATGGACAAGCTATGTGGCCACACTGTACAGTTAAATATAGACAAACTTGTAATGTTATTGAACATAATTAAGATGTATAAGCAAATTAATTATATAAATCATTTAGCTTTGAACACGTGGATGGTTGAGCATACATACCAAAAAGTGAGTTAAATATTGTGAGCGTTTGCATGACGCCATCAAGGCGGTTCGGCCGACATCCAGGCGTTCCGGCCGGTGAAAACCTGGTGAGGGGATGGTATGCACCAGTTGAGAACACGGCGAGAACGGTAAGCAAGAATTCTGAAACACGGTAAGTCCGGTACAAGGCCGATGAGAAGCCGGTACAGACCCGGAATAGAACGGTATAGTCCCGGTCAAAAATGTATAAAAACAATGCGGCCGTCGCCGTCTGGCCATAATTAGCCAAACGGTGGCGAACGGTGAGCCTACACGGCTAGTGTGACCGCTACTTGAGACAACCAGAGGATGAGGTTTTTTAACGGACAGCGGCCGAGCTCCGACCGAGCTCCGGCCGATGTGGGACAGCATCGGCCGGTCACTGTTCAAAGCCCGTTAACAACCCGGCCGGCGATCGCACGGTGTCCTGTTACCTGCTCGGGTACCGGCCGTATTCCTTCCGATGTCCGGCCGACCTCCGGCCGGTAGTTGCTGCCACATCGGCAGAAAAAACTACCATTTTGAGACAGACTCCGTACGGTCACCGGCCGGTGTTCGGTCGGTCGCCTGAAGATGTCCGGACGGAGTCCGTTCACGTCACCGAGCTCGGCTTCTGATGAGGAGAGCTCGGTGGCACCAAAAAAAATCCACCGAGCTCTACCGATGCCGGACATCGGCCGGGCTATGTGACTAGGCCATTATCCTGCGCGTTCAACTACGCTTAATTTGGTACAGTTGCTGTGTTCATAGGTCACATAACGGCAATAGGAACGCGAACGTGTAGAATTATAGTATCCAAGGGAATAGTTTTCAACGTATTTACTTTCCTGTTTGAGTATAAAGGTATAAGGAAAAAGTAAGTCGCTGAAACAAACCAATGAGACGGTGGCAGCAAATTAATGCATCGTTAGATGATGTGGAACCAATAGATGTATCTGATCGGACTGAACCTTTGGATGAACCATTCAGATTTTCTTCAAACATACCTAACGCTGATTATGAATTCAGTACCAATTCCCATATACCAATAACAAGCCAATTAGTGACATTCTAGATTCTTTAATAACGTTTGTCAATTTCAAGTATCATATCACTTAACCACAGTCCAGCCATAGATAAAATGGCTAATCATTAACTGATTTGCATTTTTTATAAACGTTTATCAATCTAAAAAAGTGGATTATGTACTTTTAATTGCAATAGGGTCGAAGTCAATGTTGATATTAGAGTTACGAAACCTTCATTTTTGATACTCCTCCATATAAATGGAGCAATCGGATCTGAACCTCGATTGTCAAAAACACGCTCAAGTAGGACCAAGGTACCATCCAAAGGAACAGCCCATATTTACAGTATGTCATGAGATCACTATATCTGCACTGATTAACTTTACAGCAAAAAAGCGGATGATACAAGTAGAGGACTTATATAACGCTAACGTCTAAAAGATGGAGCCAAAAGGTAATCTAAGACTAATAACCTCAAATCGAAAAGAATTTTCCATCTGACTTACATTGTAGAATCGTTTGGGTTGTATGATTTCTTGGGATATGTTCTCTCTGAAAATCATTAATTACACCCTATTCAAAAAAAGTTTATATGTGTTAATCTTATTCTTTAATTAGAATGTGTAGAATGAGGTCACATTAGGCGAACCTGGAAAAAGATGGGCATGTGGATTATGGGACAAGGCGATCTTGTAGTTGTGTATCGTTAGTTCAGAACAGTATAAACTAATGTATTATTGTTTTGTCTTAATGTCAAAGATGGACATATTTTATGAGATCGTCTTGCACCAGATTCCCATTTCCAGCATTTTCAGAAGCTCACATTGAATAGAGAAGTGTGCAACTGCTGGACCTATGGACCCCACTCAATGGACAAGAAAAAATTGAATCTCTAATTTTTCAAAATTCCCTTTCACTTGGAAAGGATTCTGATTTAAAAGAAAAGTTTGTTGAATATGTTTCTACTATAACTTAATTCATTTCTTCCTGATTTACTGTTGGCATCTTAGCTTACTGGCACTTACTCACTCGCCTCCTTAAATGTTGTTTTATGTATAACTTGAAATGCTAGCCTATAATGCAAAGTGCGCTAGGCAGCAACTACTGTAATTACTGTATACCTTTGAATTGAATAAATATATAATGAAATGAAATTAAACTGCTGGATGGTCTATGTGTAGAGGTATGGATGTTCATAAGAGACAAAGATAAGAGAATTTCATGTCATCATTCATGAGATAAACGTTTTCATGTGCAGTAGAAGGGTATGCTCACAATTTACTGTTATCCTCTGTAGGGTCAGTGCACGATGCGAAGACAGAGAGGAAGCATATCACAGACAAAAGGGGTTTTGAGATATGGTACAAACGGCCGGACTTTCAGATGTGGTTTGGGGGTATCGTCTTCATCATCATTGTGTCTCTCTTGATATTCATTTGCGGTAAGTTCTACTTAAGAAATATAGACAAAAGATCAGGGGTTTATTCGTCGATATAACACCTGAACTGAGGTCTATATATTACGATCGAATATAAAAACTCACCAAAATATTTTGGATATTCATTATGGTCCGCCATTACTACGGGCCGCCGTAATGACGTCATCATACATTACTCGCATTACCAGGCGTATTATTCGCTAATATAACCCGGGTGAAATATTGACTAAGTTCACAGTTAAAAGAAGGCGTTAATACACCCATGTTTGAATTCTAATTAGGTCCCTATATAAGCGAATCAAGTGTGAATAGGAGTAAGTATAGGAATATTACACGTTCACGTTCATCTACAAGTTGTCTTAAAAGTTTGCAGCTTAACTTCGTCAACAAGCTAATACATATTCGAACATGACTGTATTCACGCCTTCTTTAAACTGTGAACAAAGTCAATATTTCACCTGGGCTATATTCGCGAACAATACCCCTAGTAATACGAGTAACGTGTGACGTCTTAACGGTGGCCCGTAGTAATGGCGGACCATAATGAATATTCGAAACATTTTGGTGAGTTTTCATGTTCGAATCGTAATATAGACCTGAGATCAGGTGTAATATCGACGATTACATCCCTTAGGGCCAGGCACAAAAGCTGTCGAACCCCTCACTCTCTTCGGTCGTTCGAGGTGTATTCAACAATATTACCCCTGCCCTTCGGTCTATATATTTCTTAACTATCTTCTTTTGTACCTTTTAAAGCTCAATCGAACATGTATAAATGAAAACGAAAGGAGAACTAATTCTCAGAGAATCATATATCTACACGTCAACATACGCGTTCTCTCAAGACGTGTAGCTCAACGCCTCTATTATCTCGTGGTTTTGGGGGGGATGGTGTATTATTATTATTAGACTCCAGATTGAAAATCTGGAGTCTATTGTTTTTGCCAGTATTCTTATTAGACTCCAGATGAAATCTGGAGTCTATTGTTTTCGTCAGTTTTCTTCTTCTTCTTCTTCTTCTTCTTCTTCTTCTTCTTCTTCTTCTTCTTCTTCTTCTTCTTATTCTTTTTCTAAACCAGTTTTCTCAATAACCATAAGGTCTTCAGTAAAGTCAATCATTTGGTCAATTTAGGTCCAGTATCTAGTTCCTCGGAAATTTGGTCAAATTTTTATCTAGGTCAAAGGTCAAGAACTAGGTCAAATCCAGTACTTTGTCACTTTTTTCGATTTTCTCGGTCGTCCTTCAATATTTTCGATCTGGGTTTTTTTCATTGTGTTCCTCATAAAAAAGTAGGAAATCTAGGGTCGATTTAGTTTTTTGATATCTCAAACCAATTTCGAGATATCAGTGTCCGAAAACGAGGTCCAAAAAAAGTTCTCCGAATCAAATGTCTAGGATATTAGTCTTATAGAATATTTTCTCAGGATTCCGAATCTGAAAACCAAATTTGGATCGGACTTCCGGTTCGGAAGTTATGGCGTTTTGAAAGCTCAAAAATCGCTAAATTTGGTGCCCATGTTAAGTCAATGGGAAAAAAGATTCTTTTGAAATGAAAAATACGAAATATAGACTGAGATCAGCTAAATATAATGAAAGCTTTTAAAAGAATGGGACCTCAAAAGCCATCTAGCTTCAAAATTTGGACACCAAAATGCCTAGGTCAAAATCTAGGTCAAATTCAAAGTTTTTCCTTATTTTTGCTATTCTGACACTACAGATTAATTATATTCTTCGAAATTTTGTATACATGTAGCCAAGAGTGCGCTTATAGTGTTAGCCTTTTGCCGTCACAAAGGATTTTGCCCCACTTTTGAGATATGGTGTCCGAAAAGTAGGTCAAAATAAAAAATTCTCCAAATTTAACGTGTGAGTTATGAACTAAGTATAGAATTTTCTCAGGAATCCGAATCTGCAAACCAAATTTCGATCCGACTACCAGTTCGGAAGTTATGAGATTTTGAAAACTCAAAAATCGCTAAATTTGGTGTCCCATGTTATGTCAATGGGAAAAAAGATTTTTTTGAAGTGTAAAATACGAGATATAGACTAAGTATAGCTTAAAATAATGAAAGCCTATGAAAGAAGGGAACCTCGAAGGCTACCTAACTTCAAAATTTGGACACCAAAATCCCTAGGTCAAAATCTAGGTCAAATTCATAGTTTATCCTTATTTTTGCGATTCTGACACTACACTTTAATTATATTTCTCGCAATTGTGTATACATGTAGCCAAGAGTGTGCTTATAGCGTTAGCCTTTTGCCGTCAGAAAGTATTTTGACCCACTTTTGAGATACGGTGTCCGAAAAGTAGGTCAAAAAAAAAAGTTCTCCAAATTTAACGTTTCAGTTATGAATTAAGAATAGAATTTTCTCAGAAATCCGAATCTGCAAACTAAATTTCGATTCGACTTCCGGTTGCGAAGTTATGGCGTGTCCGAAAAGTAGGTCAAAATAAAAATTCGCCAAATTTAACGTATGAGTTATGAATTAGGGGTAGAATTTTGTCAGGAATCTGAATCTGCAAATCAAATTTCGATCCGACTTCCGGTTCGGAAGTTATGGCGTTTTGAAATTTCAAGAAAAATCGATCTGATGGTATCCTGATAGAAAGTCAAGAGTAGAGAAGAAAATATTGAAAAATGCATCCATCCTTCCTTTCTGATCCTATCCTATCCTTCCTATCTACCCTTGCTTCGTATCCTCTCCTTCCTATCCTTCCTATTCTATCCCTTCTTCCTGTTCTATTCTATCCTTCTTTTCTATTCTATCCTATCGTTCCTTCCTATTCTATCCTATCCTTCCTTCCTTTTTCATCCATCCATCCATCTTTTGCTGGATGACTTAGCTTATTTTGGATGACTTGGCTTATTCTGGATGACTCGGCTAAAAAAAAGTCTAGATCTGGAGTCTGAAATTGAACTCGTTCAATTTCCAAAATCTAGTTATTATTAGACTCCAGATGAAAATCTGGAGTCTATTGCTTTTGCCAGTTTTCTTATTAGACTCCAGATGAAAATCTGGAGTCTATTGCTTTTGCCAGTTTTCTTATTATTAGACTCCAGATGTCAATCTGGAGTCTATTGTTTTTGCCAGTATTCTTATTATTATTTTTCTTTAAAAGTTTTTTCAATAACTATAAGGTATCCAGTAAAGATCATAATACAGTTTATTTAGGTTCAGTATCTAGTTGGTGGGAAATTGGGTCAAATTTTTATCTAGGTCAAAGGTCAAGAACTAGGTCAAATCCAGTACTTTGTCACTTTTTTCGATTTTCTCAGTCATCCTTCAATATTTTCGATCCGTTTTTTTTTCATTGTGTTCCTCATAAAAAAGTAGAAAATCTAGAGTCGATTTAGTTTTTTGGTATCTCAAACCGATTTCGAGATATCAGTGTCCGAAAACGAGGTCCAAAAAGTTGGTTCTCCGAATCCAATGTCTAGGATATAAGTCTTATAGGAAATTTTCTCAGGATGCCGAATCTGAAAACCAAATTTCGATCTGACTTCCGGTTCAGAAGTTATGGCGTTTTGAAAATTCAAAAATCGCTAATTTTGGTGCCCCATGTTAATTCAATGGGAAAAAAATATTTTTTTGAAGTGTAAAATACGAGATATAGACTAAGCACAGCTAAACCTAATGGAAGCCCATAAAAGAAAGGGACCTCAAAACATTCTTTTCATAAATATTTGGACACCAAAATGCCTAGGTCAAAATCTAGGTCAAATTCAAAGTTTTTCCTTATTTTGCGATTCTGACACTACAGATTAATTATATTCTTCGAAATTTTGTATACATGTAGCCAAGAGTGTGCTAATAGTGTTAGCCTTTTGCCGTCAGAAAGTATTTTGACCCACTTTTGAGATATGGTGTCCGAAAAGTAGGTCAAAATAAAAAAATCTCCAAATTTAACGTTTGAGTTATGAATTAAGTATAACATTTTCTCAGGAATCCGAATCTGCAAATCAAATTTCGATCCGACTTCCGGTTCGGAAGTTATGACATTTTGAAAGCTCAAAAATCGCTCAATTTGGTGCCCCATGTTATGTCAATGGGAAAAAAGATTTTTTGAAGTGTAAAATACAAGATATAGACTAAGTACAGCTTAAAATAATGAAAGCCTATGTAAGAAGGTGACCTCGAAGGCTACCTAACTTCAAAATTTGGACACCAAAATCCCTAGGTCAAAATCTAGGTCAAATTCATAGTTTTTCCTTATTTTTGCGATTCGGACACTATATTTAAATGATTTGCTTCAAAATTTTGTATACAGGTAGGAAAGAGTGTGCTAATAGTGTTAGCTTTTTGCCGTCAGAAAGTATTTCGACCCGCTTTTGAGATATGGTGTCCGAAAAGTAGGTCAAAATAAAAAGTTCTCAAAATTTAACATATGAGTTATGAATTAAGAGTAGAATTTTCTCAGGAATCCGAGTCTGCAAACCAAATTTCGATCCGACTTCCGATTCAAAAGTTATGGCGTTTTGAAATTTCGAGAAAAATCGATCTGATCGTATCCTGATAGAAAGTCAAGAGTAGAGAAGAAAATATTGAAAAATGCATCCATCCTTCCTTTGTGATCCTATCGTATCCTTCTTATCTACCTTTCCTTCGTATCCTCTCCTTCCTATCCTTCCTATTCTATTCCTTCTTCCTATTCTATTCTATCATTCTTTCCTATTCTATCCTATCGTCCCTTCCTATTCTAGGCTATCCTTCCTTCCTTTTTCATCCATCCATCCATCCATCTTTTTCTGGATGACTCAGCTTATTTTGGATGACTCGGCTTATTCTGGATGACTCGGCTAAAAAAAAGTCTAGATCTGGAGTCTGAAATTGAACTTTGTTCAATTTCCAAAGTCTAGTTATTCATTCTTTCTTTCTTTCTTTCTTTCTTTCCGAACACTTTTTCTCAGCAACTAGAAGAACTTACTTTAACCTACTTACATGGCTAACATAGCCCATCAACCTAGTTTCTGGGAAATTAGGTCAAATTTTTATCTAGGTCAAAGGTCAAGAACTAGGTCAAATTTAGGTAAAATCAACATTCTGTCAATTATCTTCGTTGCTTATTGTCGTTACTCCTTCATCTTTTTTTCATCATGTAGCTTAGAAAAAAACAAATCGAGAGTGTGCCATCCGTTTTTTGATTACTCTTAGCGATTTTGAGATATGGCGTCCCGAAAGTAGGTCAAACTAAAAAAGTTCTCCAAATTTAACATATGAGCTATGGAATAAGGGTAGAATTTCCTCAGGAATCCGAATCTGCAAACCAAATTTCGATCCGACTTCCCGTTCGAAAGTTATGGCGTTTTGAAATTTCGAAAAAAATCGATCTGATGTTATCCTGATAGAAAGTCAAGGAAAAAAGATTTTTTTGAAGTGTAAAATACGAGAGATAGATTGAGTACAGCTTAAGATAATGAATTCCTATAAAAAAAGGGGACCTCAAAAGCTACCTAGTTTCAATATTTGGACACCAAAATGCCTAGGTCAAAATCTAGATCAAATTCATAGTTTTTCCTTATTTTTGCGATTCTGGCACTACACTTTTAGGATTTGCTTCAAAATTTTGTATACAGGTAGCAAAGAGTGTGCTAATAGTGTTAGCCTTTTGCCGTCAGAGAGTATTTTGACCCACTTTTGAGATATGGTGTCCGAAAAGTAGGTCAAAATAAAAAATTCTCCAAATTTAACATATGAGTTATGAATGAAGAGTAGAATTTTCTCAGGAATCCGAATCTGCAAACCAAATTTCGATCCGACTTCCGGTTCCAAAGTTATGGCGTGTCCGAAAAGTAGGTCAAAATAAAAATTCGCCAAATTTAACGTATGAGTTATGAATTAGGGGAAGAGTTTTGTCAGGAATCCGAATCTTTAAATCAAATTTCGATCCGACTTCCGATTCGGAAGTTATGGCGTTTTGAAATTTCGGAAAATTGATCTTATGGTATCCTGATAGAAAGTCAAGGAAAAAAGATTTTTTTGAAGTGTAAAATACGAGATATAGATTGAGTACAGCTTAAGATAATGAATTCCTATAAAAGAAGGGGACCTCAAATGCTACCTAGTTTCAATATTTGGACACCAAAATGCCTAGGTCAAAATCTAGGTCAAATTCATAGTTTTTCCTTATTTTTGCGATTCTGGCACTACACTTTTAGGATTTGCTTCAACATTTTGTATACAGGTAGCAAAGAGTGTGCTAATAGTGAGAGCCTTTTGCCGTCAGAAAATATTTTGACCCACTTTTGAGATATGGTGTCAGTAAAGTAGGTCAAAATAAAAAGTTCTCATAATTTAACTTATGAGTTATGAATTAAGGGTAGAATTTTCTCAGGAATCCAAATCTGCAAACCAAATTTCAATCCGACTTCCGGTCAAAAATTCCTACTTACCTACCTACTCGGCTACCTACTTAGCTACTTACTCAGCTACCTACTCAGCTACTTACTCAGCTACCTACTCAGCTACTTACTCAGCTACCTGCTCAACTACTTATTCAGCTACTTACTCAATTACTTACTCAATTACTTAATCATCTACTTACTCAGCTTCCTACTCAGTTACTTACTCAGCTCTTTACTCAAGTAAATCAATCTGGAGTCTTAAATTGAACTTTGTTCAATTTACCAATCTAGTTATTATTATTAGACTCCAGATTGAAAATCTGGAGTCTATTGTTTTTGCCAGTATTCTTCTTATTATTAGACTCCAGATTGAAAATCTGGAGTCTATTGTTCTCGTCAGTTTTCTTCTTCTTCTTCTTATTAGACTCCAGATGTCAATCTGGAGTCTATTGTTTTTGCCAGTATTCTTCTTATTAGACTCCAGATGTCAATCTGGAGTCTATTGTTTTTGCCAGTATTCTTATTCTTCTTCTTATTCTTATTCTTATTTTTCTTTTTGAGTTTTCTCAATAACTATAAGGTATCCAGTTAAGACCATAATACAGTTTGTTTAGGTTCAGTATCTAGTTGGTGGGAAATTGGGTCAAATTTTTATCTAGGTCAAAGGTCAAGAACTAGGTCAAATCCAGTACTTTGTCACTTTTTTTGATTTTCTCGGTCGTCCTTCAATATTTTCGATCCGGTTTTTTTTCATTGTGTTCCTTATAAAAAAGTAGGAAACCTAGGGTCGATTTAGTTTTTTGATATCTCAAACCGATTTCGAGATATCAGTGTCCGAAAACGAGGTCCAAAAAAAAGTTCTCCGAATCAAATGTCCAGGATATTAGTCTTATAGGAAATTTTCTCAGGATTCCGAATCTGAAAACGAAATTTGGATCGGACTTCCGGTTCTGAAGTTATGGCGTTTTGAAAGCTCAAAAATCGCTAAATTTGGAGCCCATGTTAAGTCAATGGGAAAAAAGATTTTATTGAAGTGAAAAATACGAAATATAGACTGAGTTCAGCTAAATATAATGAAAGCTTTTAAAAGAATGGGACCTCAAAAGCCATCTAGCTTTAAAATTTGGACACCAAAATGCCTAGGTCAAAATCTAGGTCAAATTCAAAGTTTTTCCTTATTTTTGCGATTCTGACACTACAGATTAATTATATTCTTCAAAATTTTGTATACATGTAGCCAAGAGTGTGCTAATAGTGTTAGCCTTTTGCCGTCAGAAAGTATTTCGACCCACTTTTGAGATATGGTGTCCGAAAAGTACGTCAAAATAAAAAGTTCTCCAAATTTAACGTTTGAGTTATGAATTAAGAATAGAATTTTCTCAGAAATCCGAATCTGCAAACCAAATTTCGATCCGACTTCCGGTTCCGAAGTTATGGCGTGTCCAAAAAGTAGGTCAAAATAAAAATTTGCCAAATTTAACGTATGAGTTATGAATTAGGGGTAGAATTTTGTCAGGAATCCGAATCTTTAAATCAAATTTATATACGACTTCCGGTTCGGAAGTTATGGCGTTTTTAAATTTCGGAAAATCGATCTGATGGTATCCTGATAGAAAGTCAAGAGTAGAGAAGAAAATGTTGAAAAATTCATCCATCCTTCCTATCTGATCTTATCCTATCCTTCCTTTCTATCCTTTCTTCGTATCTTTTCCTTCCTATCCTTTCTTCGTATCTTTTCCTTCCTATCCTATCCTATCCTTTCTTCCTATTCTATTCTATCCTATCCTTCTTTCCTATTCTATCCTATCCTACCTTCCTATTTTATTAATCCATCTATTTCTAGATGACTCAGCTTATTCTGGATGACTCGGCTTATTCTGGATGACTCGGCTAAAAAAAGTCTAGATCTGGAGTCTGAAATTGAACTTCGTTCAATTTCCAAAATCTAGTTATTCTTATTCTTATTATTCTTTAGGAGTTTTTTCAATAACTATGAGGTATCCAGTAAGAACCATAATACAGTTTATTTAGGTTCAGTATCTAGTTGGTGGGAAATTGGGTCAATTTTTTATCTAGGTCAAAGGTCAAGAACTAGGTCAAATCCAGTACTTTGTCACTTTTTTCGATTTTCTCGGTCGTCCTTCAATATTTTGGATCCGGGTTTTTTTCATTGTGTTCCTCATAAAAAAGTAGAAAATCTAGGGTCGATTTAGTTTTTTGGTATCTCAAACCGATTTCGAGATATCAGTGTCCGAAAACGAGGTCCAAAAAAAAGTTCTCCGAATCCAATGTCCAGGATATCAGTCTTATAGGAAATTTTCGCAGGATTCCGAATCTGAAAACCAAATTTCGATCTGACTTCCGGTTCAGAAGTTATGGCGTTTTGAAAATTCAAAAATCGCTAAATTTGGTGCCCCATGTTAATTCAATGGGAAAAAATATTTTTTTGAAGTGTGAAATACGAGATATAGACTAAGCACAGCTAAACATAATGGAAGCCCATAGAAGAAAGGGACCTCAAAACCTTCTTTTCATAAAAATTTGGACACCAAAATGCCTAGGTCAATATCTAGGTCAAATTCAAAGTTTTTCCTTATTTTTGCGATTCTGACACTACAGATTAATTATATTCTTCGAAATTTTGTATACATGTAGCCAAGAGTGTGCTAATAGTGTTAGCCTTTTGCCGTCAGAAAGTATTTTGACCCACTTTTGAGATATGGTGTCCGAAAAGTACGTCAAAATAAAAAATTCTCCAAATTTAACGTTTGAGTTATGAATTAAGTACAGAGTTTTCTCAGGAATCCGAATCTAAAAACTAAATTTCGATCCGACTTCCGGTTCGGAAGTTATGACATTTTGAAAGCTCAAAAATCGCTAAATTTGGTGCCCCATGTTATGTCAATGGGATAAAAGATTTTTTTGAAGTGTAAAATACGAGATATAGACTAAGTACAGCTTAAAATGATGAAAGCCTATGAAAGAAGGGACCTCGAAGGCTACCCAACTTCAAAATTTGGACACCAAAATCCCTAGGTCAAAATCTAGGTCAAATTCATAGTTTTTCCTTATTTTTGCGATTCTGACACTATATTTAAATGATTTGCTTCAAAATTTTGTATACAGGTAGGAAAGAGTGTGCTAATAGTGTTGGCCTTTTGCCGTCAGAAAGTATTTTGACCCACTTTTGAGATATGGTGTCCGAAAAGTAGGTCAAAATAAAAAGTTCTCCAAATTGAATATATGAGTTATGAATTAAGGGTACAATTTTGTCAGGAATCCGAATCTGCAAACCCGAACTCCAATGCAGTGTCTCGGTATAGACACTGCGGCGGGCAGATTATGGAATCCCCAAAATTTGGGGAAGATAGTCCCCCTTTTTGTCACAGATGTACTTGATTTTCATACAACTTATAAAATATATGTTCTTTTATGTTCACCAATCATTATTTTGTCAAAATATTTCAAAATTATTGAAATATGAGAAGAAATCACCGCGGAAGGAATTCTGAGTAAAAGTTTTGTTGATAATAGTTTACCGCACGTGTTGTTTATTAGTTAATACGCGCAATTCAACCAATGAAATTGTCTAAATTTTACAATCACGCGACCTGAGCATGGGACTAGAACCAATCACGTCAGTTGTTTATCACGAAGTTACCATGCTTACGGTGAGATACCTGCCCGCCGCAGTGATATTATCACTGCACGGGAGTTCGCTGCAAACCAAATTTCGATCCGATTTCCGGTTCGGAAGTTATGGCGTGTCCGAAAAGTAGGTCAAAATAAAAAATCTCCAAATTTAACGTATGAGTTATGAATTAGGGGTAGAATTTTGTCAGGAATCTGAATCTGCAAACCAAATTTCGATCCGACTTCCGGTTCGGAAGTGATAGCGTTTTGAAATTTCGAGAAAAATCGATCTGATGGTATCCTGATAGAAAGTCAAGAGTAGAGAAGAAAATATTGAAAAATTCATCCATCCTCCTATCTCATCCTACCCTATCCTTCCTATCTATCCTTCCTTCATATCTTTTCCTTCCTATCCTTCCTATCCTATCCTATCCTTTCTTCCTATTCTATTCTATCCTATCCTTCTTTCTTATTCTATCCTATCGTTCTTTCCTATTCTATCCTACCTTCCTATTTTATTTATCCATCTCTTTCTAGATGACTCAGCTTATTCTGGATGACTCGGCTTATTCTGGATGACTCGGCTAAAAAAAGTCTAGATCTGGAGTCTGAAATTGAACTTCGTTCAATTTCCAAAATCTAGTTATTATTATTCTAAACCAGTTTTCTCAATAACCATAAGGTTTTCAGTTAAGTCAGTCATTTGGTCAATTTAGGTCCAGAATCTAGTTCCTCGGAAATTGGGTCAAATTTTTAGCTAGGTCAAAGGTCAAGAACTAGGTCAAATCCAGTACTTTGTCACTTTTTTCGATTTTCTCGGTCGTCCTTCAATATTTTCGATCCGGGTTTTTTTCATTGTGTTCCTTATAAAAAAGTAGAAAACCTAGGGTCGATTTAGTTTTTTGATATCTCAAACTGATTTCGAGATATCAGTGTCCGAAAACAAGGTCCAAAAAAAAGTTCTCCGAATCAAATGTCCAGGATATTAGTCATATAGGAAATTTTCTCAGGATTCCGAATCTGAAAACCAAATTTAGATTGGACTTCCGGTTCAGAAGTTATGGCGTTTTGAAAGCTCAAAAATCGCTAAATTTGGTGCCCATGTTAAGTCAATGGGAAAAAAGATTATTTTTGAAGTAAAAAATATGAAATATAGACTGAGTTTAGCTAAATATAATGAAAGCTTTTAAAAGAATGGGACCTCAAAAGCCATCTAGCTTCAAAATTTGGACACCAAAATGCCTAGGTCAAAATCTAGGTCAAATTCAAAGTTTTTCCTTATTTTTGCGATTCTGACACTACAGATTATTTATATTCTTCGAAATTTTGTATACATGTAGCCAAGAGTACGCTAATAGTGTTAGCCTTTTGCCGTCAGAAAGTATTTTGACCCACTTTTGAGATATGGTGTCCGAAAAGTAGGTCAAAATAAAAAGTTCTCCAAATTTAACGTTTGAGTTATGAATTAAGAATAGAATCTTCTCAGAAATCCGAATCTGCAAACCAAATTTCAATTCGACTTCCGGTTCCGAAGTTATGGCGTGTCCGAAAAGTAGGTCAAAATAAAAATTCGCCAAATTTAACGTATGAGTTATGAATTAGGGGTAGAATTTTGTCAGGAATCCGAATCTGCAAATCAAATTTCGATCCGACTTCCGGTTCGGAAGTTATGGCGTGTCCGAAAAGTAGGTCAAAATAAAAAATCTCCAAATTTAACGTATGAGTTATGAATTAGGGGTAGAATTTTGTCAGGAATCCGAATCTGCAAACTAAATTTCGATCCGACTTCCGGTTCGGAAGTTATGGCGTTTTTAAATTTCGGAAAATCGATCTGATGGTATCCTGATAGAAAGTCAAGAGTAGAGAAGAAAATGTTGAAAAATTCATCCATCCTTCCTATCTGATCTTATCCTATCCTTCCTTTCTATCCTTTCTTCGTATCTTTTCCTTCCTATCCTTTCTTCGTATCTTTTCCTTCCTATCCTATCCTATCCTTTCTTCCTATTCTATTCTATCCTATCCTTCTTTCCTATTCTATCCTATCCTACCTTCCTATTTTATTAATCCATCTATTTCTAGATGACTCAGCTTATTCTGGATGACTCGGCTTATTCTGGATGACTCGGCTAAAAAAAGTCTAGATCTGGAGTCTGAAATTGAACTTCGTTCAATTTCCAAAATCTAGTTATTCTTATTCTTATTATTCTTTAGGAGTTTTTTCAATAACTATGAGGTATCCAGTAAGAACCATAATACAGTTTATTTAGGTTCAGTATCTAGTTGGTGGGAAATTGGGTCAATTTTTTATCTAGGTCAAAGGTCAAGAACTAGGTCAAATCCAGTACTTTGTCACTTTTTTCGATTTTCTCGGTCGTCCTTCAATATTTTGGATCCGGGTTTTTTTCATTGTGTTCCTCATAAAAAAGTAGAAAATCTAGGGTCGATTTAGTTTTTTGGTATCTCAAACCGATTTCGAGATATCAGTGTCCGAAAACGAGGTCCAAAAAAAAGTTCTCCGAATCCAATGTCCAGGATATCAGTCTTATAGGAAATTTTCGCAGGATTCCGAATCTGAAAACCAAATTTCGATCTGACTTCCGGTTCAGAAGTTATGGCGTTTTGAAAATTCAAAAATCGCTAAATTTGGTGCCCCATGTTAATTCAATGGGAAAAAATATTTTTTTGAAGTGTGAAATACGAGATATAGACTAAGCACAGCTAAACATAATGGAAGCCCATAGAAGAAAGGGACCTCAAAACCTTCTTTTCATAAAAATTTGGACACCAAAATGCCTAGGTCAATATCTAGGTCAAATTCAAAGTTTTTCCTTATTTTTGCGATTCTGACACTACAGATTAATTATATTCTTCGAAATTTTGTATACATGTAGCCAAGAGTGTGCTAATAGTGTTAGCCTTTTGCCGTCAGAAAGTATTTTGACCCACTTTTGAGATATGGTGTCCGAAAAGTACGTCAAAATAAAAAATTCTCCAAATTTAACGTTTGAGTTATGAATTAAGTACAGAGTTTTCTCAGGAATCCGAATCTAAAAACTAAATTTCGATCCGACTTCCGGTTCGGAAGTTATGACATTTTGAAAGCTCAAAAATCGCTAAATTTGGTGCCCCATGTTATGTCAATGGGATAAAAGATTTTTTTGAAGTGTAAAATACGAGATATAGACTAAGTACAGCTTAAAATGATGAAAGCCTATGAAAGAAGGGACCTCGAAGGCTACCCAACTTCAAAATTTGGACACCAAAATCCCTAGGTCAAAATCTAGGTCAAATTCATAGTTTTTCCTTATTTTTGCGATTCTGACACTATATTTAAATGATTTGCTTCAAAATTTTGTATACAGGTAGGAAAGAGTGTGCTAATAGTGTTGGCCTTTTGCCGTCAGAAAGTATTTTGACCCACTTTTGAGATATGGTGTCCGAAAAGTAGGTCAAAATAAAAAGTTCTCCAAATTGAATATATGAGTTATGAATTAAGGGTACAATTTTGTCAGGAATCCGAATCTGCAAACCAAATTTCGATCCGATTTCCGGTTCGGAAGTTATGGCGTGTCCGAAAAGTAGGTCAAAATAAAAAATCTCCAAATTTAACGTATGAGTTATGAATTAGGGGTAGAATTTTGTCAGGAATCTGAATCTGCAAACCAAATTTCGATCCGACTTCCGGTTCGGAAGTGATAGCGTTTTGAAATTTCGAGAAAAATCGATCTGATGGTATCCTGATAGAAAGTCAAGAGTAGAGAAGAAAATATTGAAAAATTCATCCATCCTCCTATCTCATCCTACCCTATCCTTCCTATCTATCCTTCCTTCATATCTTTTCCTTCCTATCCTTCCTATCCTATCCTATCCTTTCTTCCTATTCTATTCTATCCTATCCTTCTTTCTTATTCTATCCTATCGTTCTTTCCTATTCTATCCTACCTTCCTATTTTATTTATCCATCTCTTTCTAGATGACTCAGCTTATTCTGGATGACTCGGCTTATTCTGGATGACTCGGCTAAAAAAAGTCTAGATCTGGAGTCTGAAATTGAACTTCGTTCAATTTCCAAAATCTAGTTATTATTATTCTAAACCAGTTTTCTCAATAACCATAAGGTTTTCAGTTAAGTCAGTCATTTGGTCAATTTAGGTCCAGAATCTAGTTCCTCGGAAATTGGGTCAAATTTTTAGCTAGGTCAAAGGTCAAGAACTAGGTCAAATCCAGTACTTTGTCACTTTTTTCGATTTTCTCGGTCGTCCTTCAATATTTTCGATCCGGGTTTTTTTCATTGTGTTCCTTATAAAAAAGTAGAAAACCTAGGGTCGATTTAGTTTTTTGATATCTCAAACTGATTTCGAGATATCAGTGTCCGAAAACAAGGTCCAAAAAAAAGTTCTCCGAATCAAATGTCCAGGATATTAGTCATATAGGAAATTTTCTCAGGATTCCGAATCTGAAAACCAAATTTAGATTGGACTTCCGGTTCAGAAGTTATGGCGTTTTGAAAGCTCAAAAATCGCTAAATTTGGTGCCCATGTTAAGTCAATGGGAAAAAAGATTATTTTTGAAGTAAAAAATATGAAATATAGACTGAGTTTAGCTAAATATAATGAAAGCTTTTAAAAGAATGGGACCTCAAAAGCCATCTAGCTTCAAAATTTGGACACCAAAATGCCTAGGTCAAAATCTAGGTCAAATTCAAAGTTTTTCCTTATTTTTGCGATTCTGACACTACAGATTATTTATATTCTTCGAAATTTTGTATACATGTAGCCAAGAGTACGCTAATAGTGTTAGCCTTTTGCCGTCAGAAAGTATTTTGACCCACTTTTGAGATATGGTGTCCGAAAAGTAGGTCAAAATAAAAAGTTCTCCAAATTTAACGTTTGAGTTATGAATTAAGAATAGAATCTTCTCAGAAATCCGAATCTGCAAACCAAATTTCAATTCGACTTCCGGTTCCGAAGTTATGGCGTGTCCGAAAAGTAGGTCAAAATAAAAATTCGCCAAATTTAACGTATGAGTTATGAATTAGGGGTAGAATTTTGTCAGGAATCCGAATCTGCAAATCAAATTTCGATCCGACTTCCGGTTCGGAAGTTATGGCGTGTCCGAAAAGTAGGTCAAAATAAAAAATCTCCAAATTTAACGTATGAGTTATGAATTAGGGGTAGAATTTTGTCAGGAATCCGAATCTGCAAACTAAATTTCGATCCGACTTCCGGTTCGGAAGTTATGGCGTTTTGAAATTTCGAGAAAAATCGATCTGATGGTATCCTGATAGAAAGTCAAGAGTAGAGAAGAAAATATTGAAAAATTCATCCATCCTTTCTATCTGATCCTATCCTATCCTTCCTATCTATCCTTCCTTCGTATCTTTTCCTTCCTATCCTATCCTATCCTTTCTTTCTATTGTATTCTATCCTATCCTTCTTTCTTATTCTATCCTATCGTTCTTTCCTATTCTATCCTATCCTACCTTCCTATTTTATTTATCCATCTTTTTCTGGATGACTCAGCTTATTCTGGATGACTCGGCTTATTCTGGATGACTCGGCTAAAAAAAGTCTAGATCTGGAGTCTGAAATTGAACTTCGTTCAATTTCCAAAATCTAGTTATTATTCTTTGGGAGTTTTTTCAGTAACTATGAGGTATCCAGTAAGAACCATAATACAGTTTATTTAGGTTCAGTATCTAGTTGGTGGGAAATTGGGTCAAATTTTTATCTAGGTCAAAGGTCAAGAACTAGGTCAAATCCAGTACTTTGTCACTTTTTTCGATTTTCTCAGTCGTCCTTCAATATTTTCGATCCAGGTTTTTTTCATTGTGTTCCTCATAAAAAAGTAGAAAATCTAGGGTCGATTTAGTTTTCGGTATCTCAAACCGATTTCGAGATATCAGTGTCCGAAAACGAGGTCCAAAAATTTGGTTCTCCGAATCCAATTTCCAGGATATCAGTCTTATAGAAAATTTTCTCAGGATTCCGAATCTGAAAACCAAATTTCGATTTGACTCCCGGTTCAGAAGTTATGGCGTTTTGAAAATTCAAAAATCGCTAATTTTGGTGCCCCATGTTAATTCAATGGGAAAAAATATTTTTTTGAAGTGTAAAATACGAGATATAGACTAAGCACAGCTAAACATAATGGAAGCCCATAAAAGAAAGGGACCTCAAAACCTTCTTTTCATAAAAATTTGGACACCAAAATGCCTTGGTCAAAATCTAGGTCAAATTCAAAGTTTTTCCTTATTTTTGCGATTCTGACACTACAGATTATTTATATTCTTCGAAATTTTGTATACATGTAGCCAAGAGTGTGCTAATAGTGTTAGCCTTTTGCCGTCAGAAAGTATTTTGACCCACTTTTGAGATATGGTGTCCGAAAAGTAGGTCAAAATAAAAAAATCTCCAAATTTAACGTTTGGGTTATGAATTAAGTATAGAATTTTCTCAGGAATCCGAATCTGCAAATTAAATTTCGATCCGACTTCCGGTTCGGAAGTTATGACATTTTGAAAGCTCAAAAATCGCTAAATTTGGTGCCCCATGTTATGTCAATGGGAAAAAAGATTTTTTTGAAGTGTAAAATACGAGATATAGACTAAGTACAGCTTAAAATAATGAAAGCCTATGAAAGAAGGGGACCTCGAAGGCTACCGTACTTCAAAATTTGGACACCAAAATCCGTAGGTCAAAATCTAGGTCAATTTCATAGTTTTTCCTTATTTTTATAATTCTGACACTATATATGAATGATTTGCTTCAAAATTTTGTATACAGGTAGGAAAGAGTGTGCTAATAGTGTTAGCCTTTTGCTGT